CTGCCAACTTCCAAGTCCCTCTGTTGTATGTTCTGATGTACTGAAAGAGCAGCACTGAAAACTGCATGAGTCCGCCTGTGAGAAACAAAGAATTGAAAGGAACGATCAGATGGTAAAGTCTCTGACTAGAACAGTACAAATGTAGCAATATACTGACTAATAAATCCAGCCAGATGAACCCAGCATAAGCAAAAAGACAGAACTTGTGATGTCATAACAGAACCTCGTCGCCATAATTAACCACAAGAACTTCTTCACAAGGGTTCCCGCAGTGCAAATATAGCTACAAGCATGTTACCATGAACACTACTTAACCCGATAAGTTCAGATCATCAAGTAGCGAAAACAATTGCTCATCAGTATAGGATAAGATCTCATAATGTCGCCCCAATCCAATAATCCCAAAAATGTTGCTATTAGTTGCAAATTAGAGACTATTGTGCTGTTAGAGACTACTGTCAATGTCTTTGTCAATTAGACACAATGCATATACCTATTACAACCTATATACATGACCGTCAATCAAATCCCCTCATCAAACATGAATAGTAGGGGATTACAAAGCAAAATTCACCTCATTACGCGACTACTAAATAAGTTCTAGATGCTATCTGAGATCTTACACTGGCAAACCCTACAGAACATAGATCTTTAAACAAGGGATACCGAGAAGTTCGGCTATTCAGAGTTCAGATTTCTTCATTACCAGGGTACAAACACCTCCACTGCAGAGTCAAGACTGATAACCGAAAGCAGCTAGTTCCCTTTTCCGATTAACCACTGGTTTTCTAGTCCCTTCGAATCACGTCATGCAACTCTTTCCCTACCAAGTTTCTACATCCAATCAATCGTTTGTCAAGCAACAACTTCCAAGTTCCATCTCGGGCTAATTAGCAACTTGATCTATCCATCATCTTAGTCGTGATTCAAGCATCCATTGACGACTTCTCAACGATTTACCACAAGATAACGGAAAGGAACCGAACAAATCGAACACCGAAAAAACAACAGAATCCATCGATGTAATGCGAGAGAGTGAGAGATTAGAGAAGCCGCTCGGCGCACCTATGGAGAAACTCGCGGATCTTGGGGTGCTTAGGGCTGACGGCCTTGCGTTGTAACTTGAGAGCGAGCCTGTACGTCCGCTTCAGCCCCAAGAAGTAAGCCGTCGCTAGCGTGATCTCCCACAGCACCATTTTTCTTCCTTGGTTTTCTCTCTGGTTCTTCTGCTTTTTTTCCCGCGCGCTTTCCGGTTCGTCAAACGGTCTCTGGCGAACGAACGGGCGAAGCTGGAATGATGAAGAAAAGGGAATGAAATGAAATATATGGGAAGAGTCAGCGAGACTGCGGTGGTGGTGGAAGAAGAGGCGATTCGTTTCGTTTGCCGCAAGTTCTGTCTATTTCTGATGCGAGAAAGGTTGAAATGGGTGAAGGTGACCGGCCAATTTGTTTGGGAGTTGCTAAAGGTCGCCCTTAAAATTGCTAAAGGTCGCCCTAAAAAGAATAAAAGTTACACTTTTAACCCCCATAGCTTCTTTACCTTCCCTTCCTCAAACAAACATCACTTGGACTAAAAAAACACTCTCTAAGGAGAGAAAAATCTCTCATCGTCATTTTGAAGCCGATATCGTCGATAGGACGTCTGAATCATGAGTAGCGACTCCGACGAGGTAAGAACACGAACCAAAAAAAAAAAAAAACACAGAAAATGGGAACCGCGGGTGATTTGCCATTGGTGGACCGCAATTGACCTGCGGTTGGACCATGGTCGGACCGCAAATCACCTGCGGTTCAGCCATGGTCCAACCGCAGGTCAATTGCGGTCCACCAATGGCTTAACCGCAGGTGATTTGCGGTCCGACCATGGTCAAACCGCAGGTCACTTGCGGTTGGGCATTTTTTGGTTTTTTTTTTTTTTTTTTTCGTTGAATAATTTTTTTTTATATGATTTATGATTGTTCCATGAAATAATTTGTTGGGTTTTGATTTATATAATTTATTAGATTTATTTGCATAATTATTTTTGGAATTGAAGGATTTAGCATTAGAAATTAAGATTAGATTTTTGGAATTGAAGGATTTAGCATTAGAAATTAAGATTAGATTTGGCCTTAAATTAAGATTAGATTTAATTTGGTGTTAATCTAGAAAATTAAGATTAGATTTTGCATTACAAATTAAGATTAATATAATTTATTTGATTTATTGGGTTTTGATTAGATTTTTGGAATTGAAGGAATTAGCATTAGAAATTAAGATTAGATTTGGCCTTAAATTAAGATTAGATTTAATTTGGTGTTAATCTAGAAAATTAAGATTAGATTTTGCATTACAAATTAAGATTAAATTTATTGCATAAATAATAGATTCGCATATGAAGTTATGATGATTATTAATTTTAATACTGATAACATTGCAGGATATTGGAAGTTACAATCCGGATGGCCATGATTACACCTCGGATTTCATTGATGGCGTGAAATACACTACGGAGTTGCAAGCATATGAAGCAGCCATTGAGATTGCAAAGGGTTTTGGGTTTTATTTGGTGAGGGCATCGAACAAAAAAAATACGAATGAAGGTACTTGGCGACATTACTTACATTGCACTCATGGTAGGAAGAAGAAGTCGAAGGAACCTGATCCGAGTAAGGAAACGAGGCCTCTTACATCTACTGAAAAGTTGGGGTGCGAGTTTAAGATCAAGCTTGAGCGGTCAGGTGATGGATATTGGTTGATCCTAGGGGTGGCAAATACAAAGAATCCTGGTGCTAATTTGGGTTTCCACAATCATCAGTTGGAGCTATTTCCGGAGGGATCAAAGGGAAGGAATGTTTTGACTACAGAGGACAAGCAATACATCAGAGAGCTGAGATCAGCCGGTGTCCCACCAAGGAATATCCACAAGGCAGTGAATGACAGAAAAGGTGCAAATGGAACACACAACAGAAAGCAGATTTATAACGAGTGTCACAAGATAAGGAAAGAAGAGCTTGGTCAGATGACAGCCTTACAGTATACTTTCCGCATGGCGCAGGAGAAGGGTTACTATGTGCAGTATATGGACGATCGTAACGTGCTTACACACTTGTTCCTAGCCCACCCCGAGTCAATATTGATGTTGCGAGCTTGGCACCATGTGATCGTGATAGATGCAACATACAAGACCAACAAGTATGATATGCCTTGGGTTGAGATTGTCGGCATGACACCAGTGGGATTGAACTTTGTCATTGCATCTGCAATAGTGTACGACGAGACGAAGGAGTCGTACCAGTGGCTTCTGACGCATTTGCAACATCTTCTTGGCCCCATTGTTCCAGATGTGTTTGTCAGTGACAAGGCAGGAGGATTGGTTGAGACCGTGGGGGTAATGTTTCCATCATCGACTCATATTTTATGTCTTTGGCATATGGATAGGAATGTGAGAGCAAAGTGTCTAACGGAGGTGCGAAGGACGACTCATTGTGGTATAGATGCAGCCAAACCGACAGTGGATCAGATCATGGCGTCTTGGCAACGTGCTGTATATGCATTGACAGTGGAAGACATGGATACTGCCTTAGAGAATTTCAGACGTGGTTGGGGAGTACAGTACCGACGTCTTTGGGGGTATATGACAGCTGAGTGGTTACCAGTTAGACACATGTGGGCTAAATGTTATACCAATCAACTGCGGCATTTGGGTAACACAAGCTCTAATAGGGTTGAAGCTGCCCATTCCTCCTTCAAGAAGTGGCTTCAATCATCTACTGGCGCAGTCGACACGGTTAGTAATCTAATAAATCTTTATTGATACACACATAAGTTTTAGTAGTTTCCTAATTGTTCTTCATTGTTTGTAGGTATACAAGAAGAACGATGATTACATTGAGGCTCAACACCTTCAAATCAGGAAGCTGCTGGAGGATTCCCGACAAAAGAAGCTGCTCCGAGCGGATGGAAAACCATTTCGAGAGTTGAATACGAAAGTCACTCTAGAAGCTCTGAGGTTGATGTTGTTCGAGGTAGCAGTGGAAGGGGAACCTTGTACATGTACGTTTCTTCCTACCTATGGTCTCCCATGTAGATGTTCCATTCAGTTAGCACGACGTGAAAATCGGGATTTCGCCTTGTATGATGTGTTGCCATTCTGGACCGTTATCAACTATCGTGAACCTCCTACTCGGCCGGAGTGGGATGACCATAGTGATTACCACCGTGGTGTGTTCCAAGGTCTAGTACAGGAGGTTCTTGATAGAGGCGACGAGACCATTCGAGGTGCAATCGGCCTACTCCGGAGCCATCTTCATCCTGAAAATGATGGCATTGATGAACCGCATGGGGGACAGCCCCGCCCCGGTCGCCCAAGGACGTCCACCACTCGAAACCTGTCTCACTTCGAGCATGTGGAGAGGAGACGAGGGAGGAGAAGTTCAAGACTTCCGACTGCAACTCCGGACAATGATGGAAATACAGGTAGATTAACTTTTTCTTTTAGTTGTGTTCAATTGTCCTCAATATGGTGTACAACTAATCTATTTTTTTTAAATGAGATAGGTGGTGCCCCGAATGTGAATGCACAAACCAACTTCGAGGATGAGACGGAGCCGATCCATAATGATACAGGTTAGAAATTATATTCCTAATTTCGGGTAAACATATAGTGTAACTCTTTGTATTAATTTATCGTGTTATGCTCTTTGGCTAGATGGTGCACCGAATGGGAATGCACAAACCAACTTCGAGAATGGGACGGAGCCGGTGATCCATAATGATACAGGTTAGAAATTATATTCCTAATTTCGGGTAAACATATAGTGTAACTCTTTGTATTAATTTATCGTGTTATGCTCTTTGGCTAGATGGTGCCCCGTGGAGGGTTGCTCGGATTCCCAATACTAGTTGGAAGAATTACCCATGGCTACATTGTTTGGAATCCTACGTGCAACGACTAGTTCGTGGTTGGTTCAACCCTATTCCAGATGGACACTGTGGATTTCGAGCTATATCACAAGCAGCTACTGGGGACCAAAGGAATTGGCCACAAATGAGACGCGCTGTTCTAGAGGAGCTTGAATCCCGTCCTCTGCATGCATAGCACCATTATCGTACCACTTCGACTTCCACTTACCACCAACCTGAGCATCCACCGAAAGTCGAACTAGACCACCCATGTCTGACTTAAGAGTATCCTGCGACGCCTCATCTCCCATCAGCTCTCCGTCAACCGGTATCCGAAGAATGTGATGCACATCGTGTAGAAGGATCGAAATCTCTCCAAACGGCATGTGGAAGGTGTTTGTGTCCGGCTGCCACCTCTCCACAAATGCCGACAGTAGAGCCATGTCTAAATGCTGCATCATGCACCCCGTCAAGTGAGACAATCCTGTGGCTTCAACCATCTCCTTGGAACCCTCTGCACTCCACTTATATCGCCTCAAAGTCTCTACAGCTCTCGGCCTATGGAAGCCGTCCAACACTCCACGGTCCTGCTCAGGGGAATTCCACAGTACCAAGCCAATGTGACCTCCAAAGCTAGGGATCACATCGGGAATCACTGGTCCACCTGAACACATCGGAGACTCGGCTGTAAGAAACCACGACATATCTTTCCTCGTGGTCTTCCTCTTCCTATTTCCATCTCCGCCATCCTCGCTACTAGGTCTGGACGCATAGCGTCCATCGGGCCCACGGAAGTGGGAGGAGGCAGTAGAAGATACCCCGACCCGTGCCGTCTTCCCCACGCCTAAATCAGCTTGAGGTGGGGCATCCCCAGCCTCAGCATCACCAGCACCATCAACAGCATCATCAACAGCAGCATCACCAGCAGCAGCACCAGCATCTGGGGCATTCCCAACCTCAGCATCACCGTCATCATCATCATCCTCGTCAATGGAATCACTCCAATTAGCCTGCCATACCGGTGCGGTATCTGGTGTAGGAGTACTGGTAGTGCCTCGACTAAGAGACAACTGCCCCACAGTAGGGTGGCCGTCAGGACGCACTACATCCGCCTTCTTCTTCCTTCTAACCTTAGGTGGATTTTTTTCTTCATTTTCCTTCCTACCAGTCGCCGTAAGTCTACAAGCACGACCCTCCATTCTCTCCTTATTTCTCGCCTTAATCATATCCGGTTTACCCATTCCATGTCCAGACATCTTCAAAAAAAAGTTTGAATTATTAATAATGGAGTACATAAAGTAATTAATTTAAGATTTTCATAATTAAAATTATAAAACTAATAGTTTTAACATTTATGTTACGTTCTATGTAATAATTATTTACTTTTTAATCAAGGTAAAATTATTAATAATTAAGTAGATAAATGAATTACTTTGAAATTTTGATTATTAAAATGATAAAAACACATATTTAATTTTTTTATAATGTTCTTTAAATATGTTATCTTTAATTAACAATTATCGAATACGATTTTAATTTTTTTATATCATATAACTAAATTATAACTAAATTAATATTATAACTAAATTAACATTTATCGAATACGTTATTATTAATTATCGTTATAACTAAATTAACATTTATCAATAATATAACTAAATTCTTTTTATTAAGTATATTTTTTTAATTTTTTTATTATTAACGAATAATAAAAATACAGAAATTTAAAAACAAAATTAAAAAAAAAGTGGCCCGACCGCGGTCAGCCGCTGGCTCAACCGCACGTTGACCGCGGTTCAACCGACGGTCAGCCGCGCGTTGACCGCGGTCGGGCCACGGGTGAATCGCGCCTTGCTGTCGTTACCTTCTCCGGGACGATGCGAGCGACGACGGCGACGGGCGGGGACGACGCGAGCGGGATCGGCGAGATCCTTCGGCGGCGGCGAATGGACGCGGGCGGCGAGAGAGGAGTTGGCGGCTGCGACTGGACGCGGGCGGCGAGAGAGGAGTCGGCGGCGGCGACTGGACGCGGGCGGGAGTCGCGCGGCGGCGAGAGAGGAGTCTTCTCCGGCGGCGGCGGGAGATTGCAGAGGGCAGAGGCGATAGGTCGGTCGCGGTGAGAGGAGGGTCGGCCGTCGGTCGCGGGTGGAGGAGGCGTCGGGCGGTGCGGTCGGCGTCGGCGGAATTGACGGCAAGGTGAGAGGAGGTCGGCCGGTGAGGGGAGAGTCGCGGGTGAGAGGAGGGTCGCGGGTGAGTTTGTTTTTTTTTTTTTTTTTTTGAAAGGGCGGCTGAGAGAGTTGAGGGGGGAGGGATTTGAATTTGAATCCCTAAGGGCTTGTTTGTTTAAGCCTATTTTGAGTTTTTGTTTAAGGGTATGTGAGTAATTTTACATTTAAGTTAGGGCGATGTTTAGCAATTCTTAGGGCGACATTTAGCGATTCAGATTTGTTTCCTCTCCCCCACGGATTTGCTGACCGTGACCAGTTCGGTTCAGAAGTCAGAACCCAGGCAAATCTAACCGGATTGATATAGTTCTGGATTGAGGTCGGATTTGGAATCAATTCAAATGGCATACAAGTTGTCAAATTTGGAACTGAACCAAACCGTTACTATGTTACGTTATTATGCAACAAATTTGGATGATCTTCAAGGAGCATATTTTAACGTAAGATAATAACATTATATCTTATATAAAAAAAGATAATAACATTATATTTCTATTACCTAATAAATTACGAGGTGACAATAACATTATTTTGATGAATGAGAAACAAGAGTTAATTTAGGCCCAGGTATGTTCAAAACAGGACACTCCAAACAAATTCATAAGAAATAGGAGATTTCCTGATGAGTTCTTCATAAAAAAAATTATATCGGTTGGTATTCAATGTGCATTGTATTTGATTTCGATTTTATATCGTATGAGTCGAACCGATTCTCTTATTAGATGGTGGGTCTAGATACGAATTGATTGGGTGGGCTCATACTGGTGAGTGGTGACCATGACGGAGAGTGGCATATCTGTTGAGTGCTCCAAGCATATGCTTTTGGGCTTTTGCAGCCCAGAAGTGAAATAACAGCCAATTGAAACCACTATTTTCTTGGCTTGACTATTGAGTGCCCCAAGCATTATTCATAAATCACATATATAATTTTATTTACATACGCAATTATTGTTTGTTTATTTTATTTGACGTAAACTATTACTCAAATTACTATCACTCAAATTTGTATGATAAAAGAATTTCGAATTTTAGTATAGATTGTTGAGCTAGTTGGTATCCGTGTTTCTCGTGTATATGTTTTTCTTGAAGTGTATTGTATTAGGATTATGTGCCGTCATCGATCTTTGAAACTTCTGAAAAAGGAAATGAGATATGTTACATCCCATCTATAAAAATCTATACTAATTTAAGAATATTACATAACATATGCACATTTAATACTGTAGTTCAATACGTAATATGTCAATCAATGATATTTGGATTGGGGATTTTAAGATTATCCTTCATTTTTAAATTAGACTAAATTCTAAGTTACTTACTAAAATCCAATTAAAATATAAAACGAAGTATCAAACACCATAAAAATACTTTCAGAATACTTAGTAGACTAGCTAACCGTAATGGAAAATCTTTTGTTTTTATATTTATATTTCGTATATGTTTTGTATTAAAAAGGATAAAAACAAATTTGTTTAATATAATAGTTATGAAATACCATAGTTTAAATCTTGGTACTTATATATTTTTATGTGAAATAAATAAATAATTTTGAAAAAAATGTCTATCATATTTTCACTCTCGTACCAGAAATTTTGAAATAGAACAAACCAAACTTTTAATAAATAATCTTGACTTAAATAGATAGACTAAGGCATACTGCTGGGTTGCTCGCATTGGGGTTGGGTCATATTGGTATTGTCTCAACCTCAAGAATGAAATATCTGCGTGGATGCCTAAATCTCAATCTATTTTTTTTATGATATAATTTATGAAATAAAAAACCGAATCACATCATATCCGGTTCGATTCAATCTACTCTTTGATGATATAGTCCGAATTAAATATCGATTTGATCCAGTGCGGTCCGATACAGACCAAACTATCGCACACCACTATCAGTACCGGTGACCACGTTGCATGTCTTTGGTTGAAAGACTATGTTTTCAAAACTGGACCGGAGGTTGAACCAGAAAAATTAGTGGTTTAGAGTTCAGTGATTAACCGTTGGTTAATCGTTGATGGAAGAGTTCATGATATATAGCATATAAGACTTGTATATTACCCTAATTTAAGAATGAAGTTATCATTGACCATAAACAATTTCAAATTCATATCATGGCCAAACTATTTAATAAATCATTCAAACCGTCTCACAAGAGAAATCATAATTTTTTTAATTCAAATTAAAAATTATAGTGCTATCGGTAGTGGACAACAAAGGTTGGAAAATGAGAAGAGAAAGCAAATATAAAATTCATAGTTATGCTTTGATGATCTTAGTTTACATTAAAGTATTACAAAAAATGTGGTTAAAAATAGTGAACCAGTGAATCAGTTAAACCGTGGTGGTTCATCTGGTTTTATGTTGAACTGTGAAAAATCGTTTGGTCCATCAATAACCGTCCAAACAATAAATTGGACCGCTACTGTAATTGATTTGGCGGTTCTACTTTCCCAACTGTTGATCCGGTTCGATTCTTATAACAATGATAAAGGACAAAACAGTAGATTTAAGCTGGAAACCATCAATTATATTTGTACTGAAATGACGAGGAAGAAAGAAAAGACGGCAATCCTTCCCCCTCTTCTCTTGTACTTCTCACTCGCACTTTGATCCGCTCAACTTCTCTATAATCATGGTAATTCCTCACTAACATGAATCATCCACGCTTAGAAAGATAATCCATATTGTTGTTCAATTTGTTGGAAAAAAATTAAATCAATACATTTTGGTATAACTTAATTACGATCCAAATTTGAAAACAAAAGGAAGAATGTTCAGAATGAACTTAGCCAATTGATTAAGAACAATACCCTTCATCGTTTGATTTCATCCCCTCAACTAATTAGACCGAAAATGGAACATATATTAGTGAAGCAAGAAAGATTTAAGAATTTGTATCGAAGAGCCAGAATACAGATCACCAAGCAACATGCTTATTTAATTTGTTAGATAATCATCATTAATCCAGCGTGGTGGGTGTTAATTAGTAGATAATTAACAGGAATTAAAGTAATAACCCCCATTTGTCGATTGCTTGCTTATTATTATATTCAAAAGCTCGAGTGGAAGGAATCCAATGATCAGAGAGAGAGCGCAGAGCAAAACGAGGAGTCGAGAAACCAAAAAAACAAAGAGCAATAACCCCCGCAACGTCTCTCTCTATCTCTTTCTCCATCTTTTCGTTTTCTCCATCCCTAGTAGCAATGCAGAGGCAGTCACTAGGCTCTCCCGCCTCCAAGCTCCACTTCCATGGCGGATCCCTTCCCAAACACGACGACGACGCTGAGGGTTCCGCCCTCTCTCCTCATTCTTCACTGCTCCTCGATTGCGACGACCGGCGCCTCAAAACAGCCAAGAGTTCTCGCCGCCTCTCCTCTTCCGCTTCGTCTTCATCATCATCCTCGCCGCTGCAGCCGACTCCGACTCCGGAGAAGCTCGTCCACCTGATTCCGGTCATCCTCCTCTTCTGCTTCCTCGTCCTCTATCTCGTCTCTCACAATCCCTCCCAATCAAGTAAGGCCACCTAATCCCCCTCTCTCTCTCTCTTGCTTCTCTGTCTCCCACCGTTAGTTCTAATTCCCGTCCTCTTTTCCCCCAATTTCCGTGTCTCTTTCTGCAGATTCGCCGGATTTTATCCGCTTGAAGCACGCAGGTACAATGCATTTCAATTCCCCTCCCCAGCAATTGTTTATTCCCATTCTGTTTCCTCTCTTCCGTTCTTTTTCTGGCGACTTAAAAAATAGAGACGTTTTCTTCCTGCAGCTTCGATCGAGATTGATTCTGCCGTCACCGACAGCGAGCTGGGCGAGCTGAAAGCCGGGGAGGTCATCATGCCGATTCGAAGCTTCAGGAACTTGCAGGAGACGGCGGGCAGAGACAGGCGCAGAATGTCCAGCTCACACCACCGGAAGTTCGCCGGTCTTTGAAAAAACGGAACTCCGCGCCGTCCGCAGCCACGATAAGTTAAAAACTTAATTTTCGTTCTCGTCCACCGACAGCTCCCCTCTTGCATTGTAAATCCGCAAATTTAATTTTAATTAGTCGGTTATGGAATGTGGATTAACTTTTCTGTTTGATGTGAGCCTCTTTTGGCTTGTGCGTGACTCGTCTGGTTGCGATTGGGTATGCAAACTTTTGGGGCATTGATTGACTTTGATATGTGGGATTAGTTTTGCCAGATTAGAGAAAGCAACGTGATTAAGGAAGCATTTAATTACGATCTTAATCTGTGGGTGCTCCTGTGTGTGTGTGTATATGATCATCCATTATGCTTTCCAGCTGGAGAATTTATTGGGGGACGGATGACAGAGACTGAGTGTTGTTGGGCTGACTTGCTCAGTAAAATCCTCGAAGTGAGTGCTCGAGTGGAGACGACCGTTGGGATCTATCTATTTAGACCTGTGTCAGGGAGCGAGTGGCAAAGGGTTTTACTAAGTGGGCCGGCCCGGCCCAACTACGATGTCGTGTCTATAATGGGAACGAAGGTTGATTAATCTCTTGCACGAAAGAGTAATCTGCCTGATTACGAAACAAACAGGATGAAGGATCACTATTAAATTTCTCAGCGTGCCCCACGAAAAAAGAAAAATGAAGGGGATTCCTTAGCGTGTCACTATGTGGGCAGGTTAGCAGTAGATTGGTTTGGTATTGGTATGGTGATGATCACATGGTTGGGAGAGAAAGAATGATGATGACTCCTATTGGTCCCACCCGCTTTCGTCTGCTTTTAAGGGAGGAGATGGGCCCACCCCATCATAAATTCCGTTAATTCAGATGCTGGCCCATTCATCCCCCGGCCCAATACTTAACACGTGTTCACCATACACCCGGCCCAACCAAACCCATTTTCCTTGAGGAAAACATCTATTCCAAAGTGAGGAGAGCTAATCAAGATTCAAGATTATCACAAAAGAAGACACCCAAGGATTCTCGGGTGAGACTGATAGTGATGACTGATGTATCTTATGAAAACGGTTTATGTTCACATTACATGAATGGTACATGAATCTCGATAAAGAGAATGCTTATATCATCGAGTGTTAAGCAATGGAACAAAATTGCGCTTGACAAAACCAGGGGGATAAATAGAAGGAAACAATGCTTACCGGTTAAAAGGAAATAATATAACTGAGCGAAGAAGATGATCTTTGGATTCAGTCCTCATCATCCGAGTTGAATGTTATCTTCTTAGCCTTGGGAGCATCCGCACTTATCTCTCTGAAGTGGGCACCATACAGCTTCGATTCCTGCAAATCAATACCAGAGTCAAAGCTAAGCCAAAGATCATCTTATCAGAAAGGCTCTATCGTTGTATCACTGAGGTCTTTCTTTTTACCTTTTTCTTGACATGAGTACCAAACTTCAATAGGGATTCCGGAACTATCTGCTTCGCTTCGCGGAGGACATTCACTAGCTCGCCCGCGAGTCCCTGAGAAAACCGCACCACTCTCCACCATCAGTTTTCTAGTCCACGTGTCTACGGTCTATGCATATCAATGAATGTAACGGGATCTCACCTTATTATGGTGCGTGAAAAAAGTATGAGCAACGCCCTTCTTCCCGGCACGTCCAGTCCTCCCGATTCTGTGGACGTAATCTTCGGTAGTGAGCGGGAAACTGTAATTGATCACGACTTCAACATCTGGAACATCCAATCCTCGAGCAGCCACATCAGTAGCCACCTGCACATTCAGTGGCAAAGTTCTTAGAATTGGAAAGTTTCGTGCAGTGTCATGAGGGAAGTTGTGATTTAATGAGTAGTTTGTATTTGTACCATTAAAGGACAGCCTCCTGTCTTAAATAACGACAGTGACTTCGTCCGCTGCTCCTGTGATTTGGCTCCGTGTATACCAACAACCTTCCATCCACTGGTGAGAACAAGCTCAGTAAGTAACTTTGTTTTCTATAAGTAGAAAGGGGAAAGGACTGGTGGAAACTAGCATTAAGTTTCTTCACTTTCCAGTTCATTCAGGAAAGCACACTAGCTGCCCATATTATAGCATTCACACAATTTAATTACCTCCTCCTTAACATTCCCTCAAGGCGCTCAGCTTCCTTTTGGTACAATGCAAAAACGATCACCCTGTTCCTGAAACCAAATACAGAGAATGGATTAGTCAGCGGCTCTACACTGGAATTAAGTTTCTTCAAAGCCAAAAATGTAGACAACACAGAGCTTTGACATGTTCTCATAATTTTTTATATTCCCTCTTCACAAACATCTAAATACGTCTAAAGCGGAAAGAGATGAAAATTATTCGGAGACAATACTTTTGGCTCTTGTGATATTTTTCTAACAACGCAAGCAAGCGGTCATCACGTAACCGGTCTTCAATGACCTGATATTAGAAGGAATGGTGTCAATAAAAACTTAAGAACAACAGCAATGACCGCAACTCATGCTGAACTGTTGGAATCCAGACCTCAACAATCTGCAAGACGTCATGGTTGGCAGCTGTATCTTCGGAACCTACAACCACCTGAAATAGAAAACAGTTATTACAGACAGGAGCGGCAAACAAATTGGAACTGATGTGACTACTTCATAAGATGATCCCCACCTTAACTGGGTTGGGGTCCATGTGATCCTTGGCTAGATTGTGAACATCCAGTGGCCATGTAGCACTGAACATTAGCATCTGGCGAGCTTTGACAAGTTTCAAAGGAAGAGACAAAAGATATTTAAGCAGGGCCACACAGAAACTAATTTTTAAAGCTCAAGTATCAGTTTAAAGAACTAATGAAGTAGACATTATCAAGTATGGATTGATGGATTTACAAAATAGTGCATTCATTTTCTCCAGGCAGAACTTCCACATCTACTCAGTTTAAAGACCATCTACAACTCCCACAATAATTATTGCCTCTCTTCAACTAAGCGTTTTTTTTTTTTTTTACCTATTTGCACAGAGGAAGGGCTCCATGCGCAGCCGAATTGGCAGCCCTAGGGACCATACAAAACTCTAAGCCTATGTACAGCAGCTACCATCTGAAGGCAGTCCCTGTTTCCTCTAGTTGAGACACACACAGAGAATGAAGAGAGGGGGGGGGGGGGGGGGGGGGGGGGGAGAGAGAGAGAGAGAGAGATTGTACGAGAAGCTGTTTTGCTCAGTATATGTTGCACTTCTTGCCGAAATCCCATATCCAGCATTCTATCTGCTTCATCAAGGACCTAGAAAATGAGCATGACAGATTCTCAGTCTTAAAAAGTCGCAGGGGGGCTGCAAAAGGCAAATCACAATGGTACAAAATGCGAAAAGAAGAAAATAGGTTCATTTGGCGTTCATATACATCCTTGTAAGGATCACGAGGAGCTATTCCTCAAAGAGAAATGTACAAGCTATATTCAGGTAGTAGGTGCCAAAATTGCACGAGACCTGTGTAGACTTGGAAACTACTAGGCAACAGTTCATTTGTTATGAGAGACACACAACCAACTGACCGAATCAATAACATTGAGCACTTCTCAATGGCATAATTCTGTCTCATCCAGGAAGTTACGCAAACTATTGGTTCATCTAATAAGACATACTAACTGTCTGGAAGCAGGCTTATGCTTAAGAAAACCTCACAGCATGGAGGTCATAAACGAGAGCACACTATCACTTAGCTTAGCTTGTAAAGCACACGAACAGTTTAAGGAGCAAAACAATTACCACATAAGATACATCTTTAAGGCGGCAGACCTCCATTTCAATCAAATCTTTCAAACGACCAGGGGTTCCAATCACAATGTCCTGGGTGCAGAAGAAAAGAATATAGCATCACGTTAACTACTAAACTGAATATCACAGTTGGGAAAATACTCACCTAAATCGTCAAGAAAATACCAGGACGAGAACATGAACCATTAAGGCCTTAACATCGTTTGAATTAAAATGCCGGCCAAAGAAGTATTAACAGAATAAGGAAATACAATGAGAACAATAGAACATACCACACCAGACTTCAAAGAAGCTATTTGAGGACCTTTAGGCGTTCCTCCATACACACAGACTGATCGTATACCATTCGGCTCCCCAGCATCACGCAGGACAACAAAAATCTGCCTCGCACAAAAAGAAAAATGAAGGAGGGTTATCGAAACATCCCTAGTTCTCATCAAGATCAAAAGCTCCTTACAAACTCAACAATACAGATTAATGGCGGCTAATGAAGACTGATACCGCTAACAATAACAATACATACTTGGTCAGCTAACTCTCTTGTAGGTGCAAGCACCAAACAGAGTGGAATTTGCCCTCTCTCCATTTTGCCTTTACGCTTGCTCATTACGTGCATTATTGCAGGTATCCCATACGCCAATGTCTTCCCTGAAGTGCATACATCAAACACAAATTCAGATTCTCCGGCTACTATTTCAAACTCTGATAATAGGCAAATCATCTGTTCAACCTAATTCGCCGGAACTGAAAAGTTTACCTGAACCAGTCTTGGCAATGCCAATGAAATCACGCCCGTCCAACAAGAAAGGCCAGGAATGAGACTGAATCGGCGAGGGTGTTTTGAAACCCTGGCAGCACTCCAGCACTTTCTCCGGCAGCTTCGCCTCCGCGAACGACTTCAACGGCCTGTATTTGGAATCATCCGCATCCTTTCCAGTAACCAAAACCTTATCTACCTCGCCGCCTTCCTTACTACCGCTCTCTTCTCGAACTCCGCCATTCTCCTTCCCGTTCACCGCCTCTACCCCGCCTCCGTTTGCCTCCTCTTTCCCGCCATTCTCCTCCTGCTGCTTCTTATTCTTCTTCTTATCCTTCTTCCTGCTTCCATTTTCAGTTGCTTCACCTCCTAATTGAGCTTGGTCGAGCTTTCTCTTCGCCTGCTTTCCACTTGCTTGTTGTTCCTCGATTTCTGCCTCTTCCTGCTGCTGCTGCTTCTTCTTCTTGTTTTTCTTCTTCTCCTTTCTACTCGCGGTGTCGTCAATTTGCGGAGTTTCTATGTCTTTCAGTTTCTTGCCCATGGTTGCCGCGAAGGAGGAGGAAGAACACCAGCAGCGAGCGAGCAGAGCAGGGCTGAGAGAGAACGAGGCGGTTGGCGGAGCGAAGTCGTGAACGTGGGAGGTTTTTTTTGTGTGGCTTCCGTTCTTTTTCTAGGGTTTTAGATGGCGAATGGCGAATTACGCGAAAGCGTCTGAAGTTTTAAGGATAACTATTTGGATCCCAAACATGAAAGAGTCTATCATATCCACCGTTTTTTAGTTGTTGACCATCAGTGTTATTGTTATTTTTGACATTTCATGGTGCAAAGGACATCAAGGGGTATTGGAAAAAAAATTTCGAAAATTTTGGGTCATATGTCTCCTTTTTTATTTAAACGTCTTAAAGCGATTCAAACCAAAGATCAGGTTATATGACATGGATTATAAACCGTACCGATTCAGTTTTGTTTGCACCTTAAATTCACGTGTAATGTCAATAGGGCGTATCGGTTATTTACCTTTTGTTGCATGAATAACAAGGGACGATAAACATTTTCATATTATCCTTTACTAGGTGCCAAGGGTGACAAAAATGACATTTTTAGCCTTCTTGCACAACAATCGCAAAGGGATAAAGTGACTGACATTTTATTTGGCTATCTTGTGATTGTGAATCCAAAACAACACACGAGACCGTAATGCATCCCAGTTAGTCCAACAAAAGGGAGAGACAGGCAACAACAGTTAATTAACATTTTTTTTCCGGTAAGTGTGTTTTACCATTGAAGCTCACCCTTGGCTTTAACTAGCACAAGAGGTCGAAAAATACATAGGCAAACTGCCCAATGTAGCCCTTTACAAGGAAATACCAAAACAAACAAACACAAAGATTCCTACATCTATAAACAACTAGAGCAGGAAACAGTGTTGCTCAAAAGAAGCTGAAAATCAGGTCTCGCCCTTGCATACAGTCTGATATCCTCCCTGATCCGTTCTGCCAAAACATCAGCAGCACACTGCTGGTCACCAAAAACTCTCCGACATCTTTCCTTCCAAATTGCACTAATACACCAACACCAGATTGTTGCTTCAATCATACCACAGCTTCCCTTCTTCTTAACTCTGGCCACTATACCATCCAGCATCTCAACCCAACTTCCAGGAAATACCACTCCTCCTCGCAACAGAGTTCCTACCATCTCCTGAATGTAAATACAGTGACAGAAAAGGTGGTCTCTTGATTCCTCTGCAACCCTGCAAAAGACACAAGTACTATCACTAACCACCCCCCATTTTCTGAGTTTGTCCCTAGTAGCAAGCCGATCCATAATGATCAGCCAGACTAGAACACTATGTCTTGGGATCCCAAATTTGTTCCATACAACTTTCCACCAGGTAACACAAGACTGCCTCCTCCTAATTGTTTCCCAAACAGTGGAAACTGAATATTTATCCATTCGTTTCCCTAGCCAAGTCACATAACCCTGTGCCCCATCCATCCTGTAATGTAACCAGGACCTAACCTTCAAGACTTGCTTCCAAATCCAGGACCCTGACTGTGCTGGTTTCAGCTCCCAAATAGATACACCACGCAGCCTATATCGAGTGATCCAGGCCACCCAAAAGCTACCTCCTTTCAGGAGAAGCAGCCAAATAAGTCGAGCCATGGAGGCAACATTCCAGGTAATCAAGTCTTTTAAGCCTAATCCCCCTTCTCTCTTTGGTACAGCTAAAACTTCCCAAGCAACCTTAGCTCTCCCTGATTTGTCCCCATGCCAGATGAAGTCAGAGCAAATTTTCTGAATGCTTTTGAGAACCTTCTTTGGCAAAAGAAAAACAGCCATCCAGAAATGAATCAAAGAGTAGATGACAGATTCCACTAATTGGATCTTCCCAGCATAAGAAAGTTTTGTGGCTCTCCAGCTCCTGACTCGGCTAGTAATTTTATCAATCAACACAGAGCATTCCCTGCTAGACAACTTACCAGCAAGAAGAGGAAGACCCAGATACCTCACAGGGAGAGTCCCCTCTTTGAATCCAGACATGTTAAGGGCATGCTGTTTAAACTGATGTGCATAACCCCCAAAAAACACCTCGCATTTGTCCGGATTACACTGAAGCCCAGAAGATGTATAGAAAGTATTCAGTAATGTCCTTAATCCAGAAAGAGCAAATGTTGATCCCTCAGTAAAAATTAATAAATCATCAGCGAAACTTAAATGAGTCAAACCCAGATTTCTACACTGAGGATGAAAAGGTAAAACACCCTGGGAAGCAGCTTGGTTCAACATTCCAGTAAGGGGTTCCATAGCTATGGTGAATAAGTAAGGGGACAGAGGGTCCCCTTGCCTAACCCCTTTTGCAGCAGAGAAAAAACCAAATAAACTACCATGAACAGATATACTAAACATAGCAGAGCTTAAGCATACAGCAATCCATTTCATAAACTTCTCTGGGAATCCCATTTTTTCCATAACCACCCTTAAGTACCCCCAGTCTACTGAATCAAAAGCTTTTCTTAGGTCCACCTTGACAGCACACCTCGAAGAGATTTTTCCATTCTTGTAGTTATGCACTATCTCCTGAGCCATCAGTATATTTTCAACAATGCTTCTACTTTTAATAAAGGCTGACTGGTTCCTACTAATGACAGAGGCAAGCACACTCTTCAACCTATTAGCTAGTACTTTGGCAATAATTTTGTAAATGACATTAATACAAGCTATAGGCCTAAAAGCATTCATCTGATCAGCATTGGCAACCTTAGGTACTAATGTTAATGAGGCAGAGTTCATACCTTTCGGCATTGTAAAGTCAATAAAAAACTGCTGAATACCCTTCACTACCTCAGAACCAATAGTCCCCCAATATTTTTGGAAAAAGCTCACAGTCCAACCATCTGGCCCTGGCGCCTTAGTTGGATTCATATCAAAAAGAGCATCATGAACTTCCCTACTAGAGACATCCTCACACAACAGTCTCTGATCTTCTTGACCTAATTTATGCACTAGAAACCCCTCAATAAATGCCCCATCCACAGAGACGTCCTGGTTCACCACCCCAAATAATTGTTTGTAATATCCTACTGCTTCCTCAGCAATATCCCCCACATCAGTAAGTACTTCTCCTGAGGAAGCAATAAGTTTCCTAATCTGTTTCCTGGCAGCTCGTATTTTTGCAGTGCTATGAAAGAAAGAAGAATTCATATCACCCAGGGAAAGCCAAGACACTCTGGATCGCTGCCTAAAGAAAGACTCTTCAGCCTGTCTCAAATGCATGTATTCCTCTGTCACCTGCTTCACCTCTGCAAAGAGGGTCTGAGATGGAATCTCCAGAGCCTTTAACTGAACAGCCTTCATCGCCTCTTCCTTCTCCAATACTTTCCTAGAGATGTCCCACAACTCCATTTTGTTCATAGTCTTCAATTCCTGCTTCAATAGATTCAGTCTCTGCTTAATACCCCCCAATCCAGCACTTGAGACTGGTGCGTTCCAACTTGTTTCCAAGAGAGAACTAAAAGAAGCCTGCTGCAGCCACATATCAAAAAATTTAAACGGCTTGGGGAACTTCCTCATTGGAAGTCTAAATGTAAGCAGAATACCACAATGGTCTGAGAAATCTGGAGCTAGAAACACAACCACACTCTCAGAAAAACTTGTAAACCATTCAACATTAACCATCAGACGATCTAACTTCCTTGCAATTGGATTATCCTTCTGTTGATTAGACCACGTAAACAGAGGTCCAGTGGCATTATGATCCACTAATTCCATCTGTCTAACCCACTCTCTAAAATCAATAGTGCTAGTTGAAATGGGAACCTCATTTGAAGCCTCTGAGGGATGCAAAAAAGCATTAAAATCGCCCCCAATCATCCAGGGAAAACCCAGCACCTTCCATTTACTCAGACATCTATATGTAAGCAACCTCTCCTTCTCTTCATTAGATCCATAAACCACAGTAAAGAAAAATTCATCATTATTCTCACAAGTAACCAAAGTATGAATGTAATTGGCCTCTGCATTCAAGACCCTCAATCGAACTCCAGCACTCCAGCCAATCCAGATTCTTCCTAATCTATGCTTATCATAATTATCTACAAACTGATAGTCACAAAACTTCTGTCTTACTTCTATAACTGTTTTTGGTTTTTGTATTCTAGTTTCTAATAAAGCAAATAAAATCACCTTATTCACTTTCAGATACTGAAGCATTTTTCCATGCTTCCACGGGCTATTAAAGCCCCTCGTGTTCCAAATAAGAGTAGTCATTTACGAGATTGCACCACCTTAGTGGCTCCTCCCTGACTCCGTAACCCCTCTCTTACTGTCTTCTTTGGTGGGGACTTCAAAGTGACCATCCTACTACCACACAGCAGCTCAAACGCGTTTGAATGGATAACAAGCGTTGCAGGTTTCTTAGACTTAGACTTAGCCTTTACCCCATTGACTACTTTGTTAAATTCCTCATGAGAAGGGAGTGCACTAGGAGTCACTGGAGGGGTGGCATCAACTATCACTTCCTTTCCCTTATCCATTGCTACTGATCCAGCCTCCTTAGCTACCTCACCATCCCCATCCTGCTCCATAGAAACCACCTGAGTCTTCTTGACCTTCCAAACCTGCTTTGTCTGAATCCCAGAAGTCAGAGATGCACAATCATGCCCAAATACTTGACACTTAGCACAGCATTCCGGCAGCCCACAATATTCTACACCAATAAAAAACTCTGCCATATCGTCTGGAGTGACACTGATCTTATCAACTCTTGCCATCTTCGCACTGATCTCCACACAAACCTTAGCTCTACCAACTCGTTCCCGCCTCGTAGTGGAATGATCCATACACAGAGGTTTCCCCACCGCACTGGCGATTCGACCCAACCCCTCCCGTAAAACCAACTCCGCAGGAAGCCCAGAGAGATTGATCCAAACCGGAATCACAGTATTATCAATTTCCAGTGCTCGAATCCCAGGAACCCATCGTCTGAGACACACAATCTTCTCCTTGAAATGCCACGGTCCTCCTTCAAACACCCATCGGCACACCTCTTCCGTGGGAAACTGGAAAAGAACAAGATGATCTTCGAGTAACGAAACTTTGACCGCTCCATCCCTACCCCAGATCCAATTAGCCCAATTCCGAAGCGCCGATAACGATGGAAGAGCAACCAGGAACTGCCCGACGAGGCTATGCTCCCACTTCTTCGCCCCCTCCTCGACAACCGATTTGGGAATTCGAAGTGAGCCATTCACCATCTCAGGCTCAAAATACTCCAATCTATTCTCTTCCGCCACATGAAACAACGATGCCCAGGACCTGCCGCCGCTAACGGCGCCCGGCGAGGCTCCGTCAACGACGGCGGCCATCACGAACCCTAGAGATGCTCAGAAAGAATTCGAAGAGAGAGAGAGAGAGAGAGAGAGAGAGAGAGAGAAAATATCGAAAATATGAAGTGCTTAACAGTTAATTAACATTGGACGATTGCGTAGATAAAAATATTTTTACATTAAATGCACCATGGAAAAAAAAAATATCAATGAGCAGCATCTTCTTCCTCGCAGAATTTTGTGTAGTCCTTTGGGCCCATCAGGCTTCCCAGCTCCGATGCGTTGCTGGGCTTCACCTTAATCATCCACCCGTCTTCATATGGGCTCGTATTCACCTTCACGTGTTGTTTCAGCAGAGAGGTATTAAGCAAATGCGATTAATGCATCCGGGACAATTAAGGGTGTTCATTTATCATTAACACATACCAGGCCTGGGGCTTCACCAAGCTTGTCGTTGACTGCCACGACCTCGCCGGAGACAGGGGAATTCACGTCGCTGGTTGCCTTCACACTCTCAATGTTAGCAAAGCTGCCGCCTTGGCTGACCGCAGCGCCTACCTCCGGCAACTCCACGAACACAACTTCCCCCAAGTGATCCTACCAGTAGTTTACATTATACCATTTCACGATCAAATTTAGTCCATAAAGTAACATTGAACAGTTGAATACGGCACAAGTCGATTATTGAAGAACAACACTCTGCTTTTCTTATGGCTGACAAACTATGCAGCCTAATAGCACCCAACGCTAGGCAACCATTGACACCACATGGTAGGAGTGCACAAAAACCCTGAGGCATTTGATAAACAAGAACTAACACATGAAAACACACAATTGAGCAACTAACTAGGATTGAAATGGTTTACCTGAGCATGATCTGTGATGCCAACGAGAGCAACATCGCCTTCATGCTTCACCCACTCGTGGGACTTTGCATACTTCAGCCCGTCCAGTACTGCAAGACAACACTTTCATCCACTCATTACAAAAATGCCATGAAACAGAGAGAAAGAGAGGATAAGATTGTTAGCAAGAACTCACCAGAGGAGAAGCATCTGGAGAGAGGCGCCAAGGCTGGAGCTTTGGAAGCAACAGAGAGGCCTAAAGCATTGGCAGTGGAAGATGCCCAAATCCTGAGTGCCATTTCTGTTTATCCCCCTCTGGGTTTTCTTTGCAAAAGATATAATTCCCCTTTGCTGAGTTTTCGTCTGGTCTCCAAAATGAATCTCTCTCTCCCTCACTCTCTTTCTTCTTCTTGTGTTATATCTCTTGGTTTAGTTTTTGCAGAGAAAGGGTTTTATTATCTTGGATGAATGGTGAGCAGCAAAAGCCTCATCTTCTTGTCTCATACTTGCTAGTTGCTACTTGGCACTTGTTCTTTCTTCCCTCGGCGCAACAATCGTTTGGGCCCTCGGCCCGTGTTTCCATCACCAGGCCCACGTTCCAAAAACTGGTTCGCGCCAAAGCCCATAAATCCACCCGCGAGAACCGCCACGGGGGAAGAAAAAATCAAAACCGACGAGAAAGAAATTGGGGAAATCGGAGACCAAAATCTCTACTCGCTGGCCACCGATCAGCCATGGTAGAGATCGTTGAAGTCGACGACGTTGGGTATCGGAGTTCCAGAACCGCAGAATTCGACAATGGCAGCGAGAAGAAGAAAACGAAGGAAGCGAATATGGTTGAGATCACTCTCAAAACCATCGGCCCTTCTCCCTCTTCGCGCCTCCACATTCCGTCTCCCGTCACGGTACCTCTCCCTTCATCTTGCTTTTTCGTAGTCTCTCCGCTTATGGCTTCAGCCTTCAGTTCCAAAACCTTAATTCAGAGCTCAGAGAGAATTTTATTGTTGCACTGTGTGTTGTTGTTTTTTTACTGCTGGATTATGCAAAGGATGGTTGTAAAGTACCAGTGTTATCGAAAATGCTTACAAGTTTAGTGCTTATTATGTGCTTCACTTTGAATTAGGTGCGGGACTTGAGGAAATTGATAGCTGAAAGTAAGAATCTTCCGGCTGAAAATCTGAGATTAGTCTTGCACGGAAAGATGGTGGAAGATGGCGGAGATGATGATATGCTCATTACACTAAAGAATAATGGTATTTCTGTTTTTTTATCGGTATCCCTCTCTGTGTCAACCATTTCATCATATATGTGGTAGATATATAATACCTTGAGTACGAAGAATGAAAGTAATCTTGGTGAGCTTTGGCTGAAACAAAGAGTGCCTTTATTGCTTCCCCAAGAAACCCAAAAGGAAATCTTAGAGAGCATGGCTTGAATGAAAACGGAACGGGTTGTCTTGGTTTTCTCTTGGAAGCAAGTGTGTTTATCATCTACAGTCTTGGGTGAATCGACATTGTTCGTACTAGTTGCATTACTCAGCCTTCTGATCCAAGTTCTTAAATGGATAGCTTGCAACTTCAAATCTACCTAGGTTTTAGTTTTCCAGCTGCTAGATGGCTCTCTAATTCAGCATTTGAGAACCATGTCAGAGATTTGGCTTAGTATTGTGAGAGCATTCATCCGTTTTATGCAAAATAAGTGATCTTGCTAGCATCGCCCGCTTTCCATAAATCTTCTTATGTCTTTTATTATTCTCATTGTAGCTGTTTTCTCCAACTTTTAGATGCTTTGATTGTGGCTGTGAAACCAAAACCTCCGGCTAAGCATCTCCAGGATGGATGTGATGACGACGATGATCTGGTACCTCTTAATAAGTAACTGTCATTGAGCTGAGACTACTTGGTCCCATGAAATAACTTCTTTAGGAAATTTTCTGATCTTAGTTTTTTGGCAAGCAGAAATTTCAGCTGCCACAATCAACAAGTCCATGGAAGAGGAAGCTCTACTTTTTTCTTCGCCACAAGTTGAAAATTCCAGGCAAGGCTCCTGTGGTAGAGTTCTTGCATCTCAACCTACCAATATCAGACCTGTCTTTGTTTAAAATGTTCTTCGCTTTGTTATGGGCAGATATGCTTTTAGCTGGACTTTTCTCACTCTCTGCAAAGGTTTGGGCGGCTATTATTTTGTGGTTCATTTTTGCACCTGTTGCTAATAGATGGCATCTTGGTCCTTTATATGTAAGTTTTTCTACCTCTTCGTCCTTTCTAATCAATGCATGCACTTTCGCTTTGTCTGTTAGAGGTCATGAGACTAGTTAATTTGTGGCGAAAACAACTATCTCTCTCTATGCACTACTTGTGCTCCTGCCATCCTTGTAAACCTAAAGCCACACTGAACATTTAGACTATTTACATCAAGGGGAGATCTCAGATCATGGATGTACGCTACATATTTTATTTTGAACAAATAAGTTACCATTATGCAAATCCTGATCCTCACTCATCTGACTACTTAACTTTCAGATACTTGGCACGGGCTTTGCAATCATCTTCCTGAATCTGGGACGAAGGCAAGCAGGAGACGTTAGGTATGCACTATGGTCTAACGCGACAGACCAGCTTTAATGGCTTCCATTAGCAATTGTAAAATGAAATGGATAATGACTATGCTTACTTTACCCGTTTTCAAATTTCAACCCATGATTTACTTAAGTTCGAGTAAGAAGAGCTAACAAACAAATCTTAGTAAAATAACCTTGTCCGTACAATCTATGTTCACTGTTCTTTTTTCTACATATCAAAACACATCGCCAGTATCTCAATCTTGCACCTTATAGGCGTACTCGGTAACTTGAATTTAGAGAATGCAGCAGGACACATGCATGATTTATTCCGGTTCTCTGTAGTCTCCATAAGAGTTTTGGAGTGTAAAGAATTGCAGTTTCTGCTTCAAATATCTCAATCCTGCACCTTATAGTCCTACTTGGTAACTTGAATTTCGAGAATGCACCAGGATACATGTATGATTTATTCCGATTCTCCGTAGTCTCCATAAGAATTTTGGAGTGTAAAGAATTGTGGTTTCTGCTTCAACTGTGATCAAATATGCACCAAACAATTCAACCTACGAACCAAAACTGGAACTGTGGTTTTTTCACGTGTTTGTTTTCCCTCGACGCAACTTGAACCTTTTGAGCTTCTAAATGGCGTCTTGTAGTGGTTCTTGTGACATGCATATTCATGTCCGTAATATTTTACCACGTTTACTGCTAGAAATCTCTGCTATATCCTGCATACTGGTTGATCGTTGATAAGAGCTACCTGGTTCTCTGTAAATTTTACAGCGCATATTCGATCTTCAATGAAGACTTCAGGGAGCTTCCTGGCACTCTGAATGCAGATCGCTTGGATAGAGATATTCGTGCTGGTCAGATGTGAGCGAGAGGCTTTAACGTATCGTTGTTGCTAGAGAAAACACATTTGCTAACGTGCACAGAAAATTTTGTTGTATATGTTTCTAACCCTACAGATTTACATGCTGTAGTTTATGTTCGAAGTAACAAACCCTTTCGAGTAGTGAACTCTGGTGTTTATATCTTTTACTGATGTCAGTATATATGTAAATGTGGCATGGGAAAACTGGTTTTTTTTTTGTGGTACTGTATCATACCAACAGTTGTATCAGTTTAAATCGTGATTTGGTATTCAAGCTTGTACGATCGTATTAATGCTTTACTTTGGTACGTAAGTGATCTTATCATTTGCATCGTCGGTCGCAGTGGAAGGACACTCATTTCTGATCTCTTTTGAGTCAACTAGTGCTTGGTTTAATGAAAGGGATGTGCATAGGTTTCTGAAACAGGAGTCGGTTTCAGCTTGGTGGGAAGAGTTTGGTGAAGAGAAATGGAGTTGTTGCTTGTTCCTCTTTTTAGTGGACGGTGACGAGAGCTTTGGGAGATGGTGAAGAATGAGTTCATCAACTGGTTTTACTTACTCAACTGTACCGTATAATGGATCACGTTCCCACTCCTCACTAGTAGTGCTCCCAATGATGAGACTGCGAGCCGTTCCAATTGGAATTTGATGGAAGAGTTTTGGTTTATTTAGATCGATCGAAAATCGGGATATCTTGATTTTCAGAATCAAATTTTAATTAAGTATTGTATCATAAATTTTAGTTTGATCTAATCTTAGATATTTAACGATTTGATCGATCTGCTTGCTTACAGTCCGTCGGATACAAAAGCTCTCACCAATCTCTTGATGTGTTGTGCTCGTGGGTTGACAAAACTAAAAAACCCAGAAACAAGCATTTGAATTCAAGGACACAATTCGTTGTAGGTGTAAAAATTGATTGATGGATGCTTCTAGGAGATTAATTAGGACTAGGAAGTCAGCCAAAATGGAAGATTTCTACAGCTCGCAGACCATTTTTGTCAAATGTAGATGCTGTTGAAAACATAATATATTTTTTTCTCGCTGAAGAGAGAGTAGTTGGTGAACTACACCAGCCACAAAAGGTCTTCTTCCTGTGATGTGCTGCCGCTTTTGCCAACAAATTTGAGAACTCATCGGTTGACTTCATTGATACACGTTTTGACTACAAATACAAAGCCGACTCGTTTTCCTTGACAAGTTGGCGTATTAGCAAATTTGCATCCAAACTCATCCATTCAGATAGCCTATATTGGTATTGTGTAAAACTGTATTTCGATTGTAAATGACAGTGTAGGTGTAGCTTGTCATGGGTCTTTTGTCTTTCCTACTTTGTTCGGTCTTCTCTCAATTTAATTTCGTATTTTATCAAATCATATCTCTCACATGGTATTCTTATGGATCAAATTGGTGTACTCTAATGGATAAAACGCAGAACTCGATTCTCTAAATCCAAATTCGAAGTTCAATTTAATCGAAAATAATAATTGACCGTTGAATTTGGTTGAAACTCATCGAAGTACATTTAACGACCAAATCACTTGAAATATACTATACGCGTGCAGTATACCAGTCTTTACCTAATTCTTATATGGTATTTGAGATTTTTTTTTTTTTTTTTTTGCATTACTGGGAGGCCGAGGCCGAGAACAAGAAGGAGGTTACAGGGGATTAAGAGGGGGGAGGAGCTCGAACCGCGATGCGGCGTTCTAACGTAGTGCCATGGGCATCATCTCTAAGAACACTCACTAGGCCGGGAGGGGGGTTAGCAAGCTCATGGGTACCGTAGGGATAGACGAGACTGTGCTTCGAGAGCCAGTCCGCGACTCTATTCCCTTCTCGATAAACATGAGTGATGCTGACCAACCAATCCCATCCTAATTTCCTGCGAATACTAGACAGAAGAGTAGCATAAGGGTGAATAGGGTCTTCTCTATTCTGAATGAGGTTCATAGCTAACTGGGAGTCCGTCTCCACTCTGACAGTTATGTATCCAAGGTCCCAGGCAAGGTTCAGGCCATGGTTAATCCCCCAAATCTCCGCATGAGCAGCAGTAGTCTCACTGATGTTGGCAACAAAGCCTCCCAGCCACTTTCCCGTAAAGTCTCTGACCGCTCCTCCTGCCCCTGCCGAACCTGGGTTACCATTAGAAGCCCCGTCGACATTCAGTGTAACCCACCCGATCGGAGGGGGAGACCAACAGATGTTAGCCCATTGGCGCTCCGCTGGTCGCGATCGGTTGTCCGGGAGGAGAGAAGGCGCATGCCAGGCGTCGTGCCAAAGCTTCGTCTTAGTCATGATGGAATGCTCCAAAGAAGGGGCTGTAAGGGCGGCAGCTCTTCCTTGGAGGGAGGCCGTGCACCTGTTCTTCCAAAGAAGCCAAATCGCCATGCTAAAGAAAGCCGTCCAACTGATGTCACCTGCTTTTATATCTGTCTCCAAGAGGTTCCTGCGGAGCCAATTATCCTGAGCTGCGCTGAAGAATTCCTGTTGGTGCTGGGGGGAACGTGACGAGACCAGAAGAAGAGAGTCGGGGCGCAGTCCCTGAGGATGTGAAGAATCGTCTCCGGCTGACCTGTACACTGCAAGCAGAAGGGATCCGCCGCGATCTTACTGCTGTGACGGAGGGCGTTAGTCGCGATCTTCCCCAAGAAGTTTTGCCACAGGAAGGTTCGAACACGCTCCGGAACCGGGAGGCGCCAGATGATCTTCCAGTATTTCTCGTTTGGATGTGGTTGCTGTTGCGTGAGGAGAGTGAACGCAGATTTGGTGGAGAAGCGGCCATCGGCAGTGTCCGACTAGAAGAGTTGGTCTTCCTCCTGCGAGAGCTTGTCAACCGCAATGCACAAAATCTTCTGGTAGATATCAATAGGCAGAAGGTCGCTAAACAGCTCCGTTCGCCAGCTTCCATCTTCATGAGTAAAATCAGCAACAGTAGCCTCCTCCTGCTCCAATGGGATTTCTCCTAACGCCATCTCTCGCAAAGGGACCTGCAAAACCCAAGGATCAAGCCAAAATTTAGTGCCTCTACCATTCTTAATATTCCACGCACACCCTTTTTTAAGGATGGGAGCAGCTTTCGAGAAGCTGGCCCAGGTAAAGGAACTTCCCTGAACTGGCCGGAGAAGACTGAGACCTTGTCTTTGTCTTCCGTATTTTACCTGCATAACTTGCGTCCACAGGCTGTCTTTCTCCTGCAAAAGGCGCCAGCCCCCTTTGGCTAGCATGGCAAGGTTAGCCAGCCTCGTGGGTCTGAGTCCCACTCCACCTTGGCACTTGGGAGTTATCATCTTTTCCCACGCCACAAGGTGCATCTTGCTCTTGTCCGGCTCATCCCCCCAAATGAAATCTCTGTTCAACTTGTCAATGCTCTTGCAGACTTTACCGGGGATCATCTCGGTTTGCATGTTGTACACAGGAAGGGAGGCAGCAACCGACTTGGTTAACGTGAGTCTCGCCGTGAAGGAGAAGCGCTTAGCCTTCCACAGAGCCATCTTCTTTTGGATGCGGAGGATGAGAGATTGATATCTCTCACTGGACACCCGCTCCTGGATGGCCTGAATGCCAAGATACCGCCCCAGAGCTGCCTTGAGAGGTATACCCGCGTGCTGACTCAGTCTCAAGGCCCTCTGTCGGTTTATATTAGGAGAGACATATAAGATCGACTTCTCATAGTTAACCTTCTGTCCCGAGCTAGAACAAAAGTCCTCCAAGCATCTTTTCACCACCTGGATCTGCCTAGTTTCCGCCTCCGCAAAAAGAAGGAGATCATCTGCAAAGAAAAGATGTTAAGGGGTGGACCATTAACAGAAAGCTTGATCGCTTTCTATTGGCCACCATTCACTGCCTCATCAATCCTGTGAGATAAACGTTCCATGCAAAGGACGAAAAGATAAGGGGAAAGAGGGTCTCCCTGACGAACACCGCGAGAGGGTGAGATTGGTTGGGAGAGCTCGCCATTCCAGAGGATGCGCATCCTGTTTTGTTCTACACAGGTCATAATGCAGTTAATCCAGGAACTGGGGAGGCCAACCTCCTTGAGGGTGTCTCTCAGGAAGTCCCATCTCAGCCTGTCATAAGCCTTCTCCAGATCAATCTTGAAAATCAGTCCTCCCTTCTTGCCTCTCTTCTTTTCCAGGGTATGGAGGACTTCCTGGGTTACAATGATATTGTCGGTCGTCTGCCTGCCCGGAATGAAGCTGCTCTGCCTTGGTGACACCAGCTTCTTCATAATGGGCTTCAGTCTGCTGGTCATAGCCTTGGTGATAGCCTTGAGGCTGACATTATTAAGCGAGATTGGCCGCAGATGGGTGACTTTCTCAGGAATGTCGATCTTCGGGATCAACACCAAGGTAGAATCTGTAATGGCATCCGGGAGGGAACCTGTAGAAAAGAAAGATAAAGCCAAATCCGCCAGATTTTTCCCAACAATGTCCCACATTTGCTGGTAGAAAACTGCATGGTAACCATCCGGTCCGGGAGCTTGAAATGGCTTCATCTCAAAGATCGCTCTGTGAATGTCCTGAATGGTGAAGGGGCGAAGCATGAGCATAATCTCAGACTGGCTCAGCTGCGGGAAGGCCTGCTTGGGTAATTTATCACCCAGTTTTCATTGGCGTCTTGGAGAGCTTCGATTTTATTCCTCCGCCTCCTGATGTTGACAAGCTGGTGGAAGTAAGCACTATTGCGCTCACCAAACTTCACCCACTTCTCTCGAGAACGCTGGAACCAAAGCATCTCCTCCTGCTCAAGAACCATGTCCAGCTCTCCTTCAAGTTTTGAACGAAGTTTGGCTAACCCAGGCGTAAAGGAAACCATCAACCTGGAATCGACCCCTCTAATTCTAGCAAGCAGCCGCCTCTTCTTTTTCTGAATGCTACCAAAAGAGTTAGAGTTCCAATCTTGTAACTTAGTAGCAAGGCTAGCAATAGAGTTGTGGAAAGGATTATTGGAATCCCAAGAAGTCGCCACCAGCTCTTTCAGACTGGGGTCCGTTAACCACGCCGCCTTGAACCTGAAAGGACGATTACTGCTGCCATTTCCACTAGGAGGAGAGACGGAGGTCAGGAGAGGAGTATGATCCGAGTGAAGTCTGGGGAGATGAAGCACCGAAGTGCCTGGGAAAGCCTCATTCAAGTGTAAATTGCAAAGGCTTCTATCCAGTCTGCTAGCCTTAAAAGTATGAGATTGATCCCTCCTGGTCCAAGTGAACTTCGATCCAGAGAAGCCCAAATCGATCAGCTCTGCTTGGTTAATCCTGTCGTTGAAGGTGCGGCATCTCCTCGCTGTAGCTGCCGTCGGTGGCCCAGATTTCTCCTCCAGAATGCGAATGGCATTGAAGTCCCCTGATATGAGCCAAGGAATATCAATCCATCTGCTCTGACGAATGAGATTATCCCAGAGAAAACGCTGATCACTAGGCCGAGGGGAAGCATAGACAGCAGTTAAAACCCAAGGTTGCTTGTTCATCTCCTCAATACGCAGGGAGATATGCTGATCGCAAGCAGAAATAAGATGCGTCGAAAATCGGCGGGCATCCCAAAACACCCAAACACCTCCACTCCTACCATTCGCTTCAACACGGATGGAGTTCGGATATCCCAGCTTGTCACAAGTCGCATTCACCGCTGCCCCGCTAATCTGAGGCTCCAAGAGGATCAAAAAATCGGGTCGGTGAGTCTGAATTGCAAGCTTCAACGCACGGATGAAGGCCCTGCTGCCCGCACCACCTACATTCCACGAAAAAATAGTTAGTTTAGAATTGACAGACATCGGCATAACTAAAGGGAAAGAAGACAGAAAGAGGAAGAGGGGGCCAGAGGAGAAATCTCAGAGGGCGAGGGAAGTCTGGTCGGCAGTCTCGGAGGCCACCGCTCGCTCTTCAGGTTGAGACATTCGGTTCTCGCCCCTCCCTTTGTCCGCAGCATCTCTCGCAGCGCCCGTCCAGGAATTGATTTCTTGGAGAGTGAGAGTTGCTATTTTCGATCTCGATTTGACTTTGCGGTCCTTCTTCGGAGTCCAAACTTGAAGTCCTTTCAAAGGGCTGAGTTTTGTGGGAGTTCCCCGGGCGTCAGCTTGTCGAGCCTTGCTCTTTTTCGTCCTTGCCTTGACCGAGATAGTTTGGGAGGGGGGGTTGCCTTTCTTCTCTTCTGTCAATTTGGTTGGGAGGTCGACAATTTGCATTATTGTTCCATTGATTCCAGTCACTGTGTGCACAGAAGGGGGAGGGGAAACCGCTGTCGAGTCTGTGGTTGCCTTGGCCGAGGCGATGGTGGAGGCTGATTGCAACGTGGAGGGATGGGCTTTCACTTTAGGGGTGGCAGGCTGCTTAGGGGGAGGGTGGGCCGAAGAGGAGGCTTGGGCCTGTTCGGTGGTGGGCTTAGGCCCATTGCCATTGGCGATGTAGCCCGGGCCAGAACCAAGCAGCCCTCTTCCCTGACCACTCGTTTCCTCAAAGACAATTTCCTTCCCCTTTTTACTCGAGTCCCCTGTCTTCTTTCCCATTCCACCTTTCCTTTCCTAAGCGGGTGGCCGTTGTGACACATGAGAGGGGGGAGCGGAGTGAGCCGGGGTCGACTGCTTATTATCTTTAGGCAAGAAGTCCTGCTTTCCATAATTGGAGACTTGCCCACCTTTGGGGATCTCGGAATTACTCTCGAGCTTTCCTTTTTGCGGGGAATTCCTTGAATTCAGCCTGATTTTGCGGGAGACGAGCATCCATGGACCAAATCCCGGCTTCGAGTCCTCCATCGTTTGTGTCGCCACCGCCTGGGTCTCCCCGCGGTGATTGCTAGAGTTGCCGGAAGTTTTGTGGGCTGCAGCTTGGGACAAACCGTGGATGAGTGTCCAATTTTTCCGCACTCAAAACAAACCTCTGGGAGGTTTTCATATTCAATCTTTTGCCACGCATCGTCTAGCCAGATGCGGGGTACCAGGGGCTTCGACAAATCCATTTCCACTGCGATTCTGGCAAACTTCGCGCGTTGGAGTGTTAGAGTGTGGAAATCCAGACGTATAGTACGTCCGATAAGGTTACCCAAAGTTGTCAGGATCTCTTTGTGGTAGAAGTGGACTTTTAGCGTCGGAAATTGAACCCAGACGATCATTTTCCTCGGAAGAGGGTCAGAGACTTTGAAGTTCGGGGTCCATTGTTGGACCGCTAGATAGTGGTCGAAGATGGTCCAAGGTCCATCCGTGAGAGCTCTGAAGTAATCTTGTTCATTGCTCAGTTTGACAAGGAACGTTTCCTGGTCAAGGTCCATGATTTCCATGGAGCCGGTTGGCCGCCAGAGCCCCGGAGGCGAGAGCATAGCGTAGAGTAGCCAAGCAGTCGAACAACAATTGTGCGCTGCCAGGGTGCGCAGATCTTGTCTTTGATCGAAGCAGAGATGTTGAGGGCCGGTTCTCCATTAAGAAACCCAGGAACCAAATCGTTTTCTCCTACAGGTGTCCACTGCGCCGTCGGTGAGGGGGTCGATAGGATAGGTTTCAAGCCCGTGACTGCTGCCGCGTATGAGAATTGAGGCTTTGGGTTCGTCGGCGAGGTCAGGTCAGGGCCTTGTGCCGTTCCTTTCTCTCGCTCGCAGCTGGGGGCTTCAGAGCGGTCTTCTCCCCCCGACAGAGACACGGCCAAACTGGAAGAGTCAATCACCATATCAGATGCTGCGGATGGAGTAGTCGCGGATAGGGAAAGGAGAAGTGAAGGATCTGGCGGCCGGTCCGAGGGGGAGAGCACCGGCGCCGGAGCTGGGTTTCCGTCAAGCGAAGTTGAGAGCATTTTTCTTAGACAATTCGTCTTCCTGAGACATATTAGAGATTTATTTTTATAACCATCCTTAGAGGTAAGCAATAAGCGTCCATCTCTCTAAGTATAACTTCATTGTGTATATCCCATTTTTTTTCTTGATTTATAAATGAATTATCCAATATTTTTGTGCGTGTGAAAATCGAACAAATAAATAACCACACAAATAAAAGCGGGTTGATCTAGGGATGGTCAATGGATGAGTTGAGCGGTTTTTGAGTTAAAATCATCCATCCGAAGTTTTTGGTGGGTGATGAAAAATGAAACACCCACACATTGTATCATTATGGGTGGGTTGGGTAAGTGATGAGTGGTTTTAGCAATTTTGGTGGATTACATTTTTTCCCAATTAATAACATATTTATAGACTATAAAAACTTACAACAAGCTAATCAAATATAAAATTAATCTACAAAAATTAAGAGAATCAATAACTATTAAGAGTAGCTTATTGTATAATCTAACATCAATCATCTCATTTGCGAACAAAAATATTTCATGTGTATTTACCATATTTTCTAAACAATTGACAATTTATAATTTAAGTCAAGCAAAATTTATAAAAAAAATTACCATTTAATTGAATTAATCATGATTTATATTTTTAGATATAAAAATTATGTATATTACTATAGAGTGTAAATTAGTGGCACAATATATGGTGTTTTTCTGGTAAATGACCCATCGGCCCACCCGCCACCCACCGAAATTTTATGGATCGTAAAAAAAAGATAACTCACACCCAACCACCATATCCACTCGAACACCTATTGTGTAGGTTATAATTGGATGATACGAGTGAATTTAGTGGTTGACCTGTCAGAGAAACAGTATGGAGAAACAGATTGAATGCGTGATTTTGATCACTCTCCTTAGAGTGTTTATTTGCCCCCACTACGTTGTTGCTGGTAGGAATTAGGCAAACCATCCCCAGGAGTCCCTCCAATCAAAGTCAGAAGGAGATGATTTGCCTAATCCCTTCCGAAGGGTTACGTCGTTTCACAAAAGTCAAACATCAGATAATTATCTGGATTAATTAATTAAAATAATTCCGGTAATTAATTAGTCAAAAATTCAAATCCGAACGCGTCGCGCAAACGTGCGTAGTGCGATTTAATATGTCAAATTAAATAGCCCACATTTTTTTTCAAAATCCCACTAACCATTTTATCCAATAACTAAAGTGGAAAGCAAACTTAAAAACCACTTGCACTTTCCTTCTCCCACCAATATGGTATTTTCTTTACTCTTTTGACTACTCTAACATGACCTCCCATTACCTAGCTTGATCTATCTCAACCCTTACCTCCCTACATAGAAATAGAACCAATATGGATACATAGGCAGGGATGAGCAACGGTTTGGTCTGTAGCAGGTTGTACTGTACTGAATCGTCATTTGGATCGCACCATACCGAACCAAATATAAAGCGTTCTGATATGGGTCTCTTGAATTTATAAATACCGAAGAAAAATAAACCGAATTGAAATTTGGACCGTACCAATATGAACTAAATACAATGATAATCTTCTGATCCATAATTCTGATATATTTTTTTATTACTAGACTACGGTTCTCATGAATTTGATATTGTTCAAACCGTTTCACATGCTTACAAAGAGGTGCTCTCCCATTCCCAATCGAGACCTCGATTAGATTTGCAAAATTTACAAGAGGATTCACACGGATCGCGTGATACATAAACTAGCCATAGCTGATTTGTTTGTCGTTAGTATTTTGGGGGTTGGAATATTAAAAGGGCACAAAATAGCTAACCAACAAACCTCTTTGACTTAAATCCCAAACCCCCAAAACAAAAGAAAAAGGTAAAAAATAAAAAAAAAAGTCATCAACAAACAAACGGACACCATCCCCAGTCCCCACCACACCACCCAAAGCTTAATTTGGCCTCTTTTTTCTCCTTTTGGCCCTTTCAAGTTTTCCCCCTCAACTCTTTGCTCTTCTTCTTCCCGCCTTCACATGCAAACAATTTTACCTCTCCTCTCCTCCATTTCCCAATCTCCACAACCCAATTTCAAAATCCTCAAGTAGTAGTTGTGTAAAAATTGTTAGTCCATGAGTTTGATTTGGGAATGTGTCATCCTTCTCGTTGGTATAAGATTGTTTCGGTGTTGTCTCATTCTCTTTACTGAAAATAACTTTATCAAGAGTTGAGATAATAGATTGAGTGTGGCTAAACTATCAATTTTTCGCATCCAAAGCAAATTGACCATTCAAATATATCATTCCGAATTGTTTGTCGCGTGAATAATTGTGAGTGAGTATAATTTAGATGTTGGGAGGAATAATAGGTAACTATCATTACCCAAATTGCGCTTGTTGCTTCTTCTTTTTCTTAAATGTGTTATGATGATGGTCATTCGCTCTAGTGCCGGTATGTTACGTATTTTGCTGGTGTGGAACCCGGTTACATTTCAGTAACATAGCGAACTTCAAGCGAAATACGACAACATCCTAGTAACGCAATGATCCTAGCTAGCACAATGAATCCTACATTCATACTCAACTTGTTGCCATTTGGGAACTTTGTTTGGATGTGGAAATTCGTATGAATTTCCATGTTTTACAAAACCAAGGAATTGACTTGTGGAAATTGAACAAAATTTCACGTTTGGATAGGGTTTAGTTTTGTGGAAATTGATGGTGTGGAATTTGGTAAAAATACAAAAATGCCCTCTTTTGTTTATATCCATATACCCCTCCTAAAGGTTGTTGTTGTATTATACTAACTACTAATTGTTGCTAACTTAAGCATAGTTAGAAAAATATGATATGGAAAAGTTACGTATAAAATACGTACGATTATTTTACTTCATCTCTAAACTAATATTACATTTAATAGTACATTAAAAGCCATACATATATAAACTTAATTATTTGAATAATAAGTACATATATAAATTATAATAAATTTAACAATTTAATTCATTAAATACGGATATTAAAAGTGTTTTTGCGAATTCAATGAGGAGAAGCAAGAAATTGACGGTGAATGAGATAATTAAGCGAATCTAAAATTAAGAAATTGATGACGGATTAGAGGAGATATACGAAGGTGAGGGGAGATGAAGAAGAAGAGGTGTCATTGATGAATGAAGAAAAAGGAGCTACTCTTGTAAGAAATAGTTAGGCGAAATCGGAGGAGTAAGGAAGAAAGGAGAGGAAGGACATAAGGACACATTTGGAAATATAAGGAAGAAAACATGGTAATGTCAAATTACTAGGGGGAGATGTAGTATTCTCAATTACAATGAATGTGGTAATTGGAGCCAATTTCCATGGTCCAATTCTCATACCCTTTTTGCTCTGCCAAACGTGGGTTTTTAACCCAATTACTGCATTACATTTCCACATCCAAACGACCCTTAATATAATGTTTATACAAGATTGAGCAAAAAGTTCAAATTTGAAATCTTGTATGGTACACCAATTTGTGGAAAGATTTTGCTAGTCACCATTTTCTATCAACATCATTGGCATATAAAAAAATAAAAAAAATATGAAGATATCTTATCAACTTGTTCACAACAAAGACTTATGAGTTGGCTAGGTAGAAATCAAATGTGATTTTGGTTTTTCCTTTGACCTTGTAGTTGGATTTTTCGAAATCCGTTGAGGGGTCAATTAAGATTCAATTATCTACCTCGTAATCGATGGAAAACTTATATATGCATGTATTAGCCTACTAACTGTTCATTTCGATGGAAACATATATTATTTTTTCAATTAATGGTTATCATAATCAAGAACTAGGTCAGTGTGCATAGTGCATACATCTTCATGTGAACAATAATCTATTTTTATGGCACCAACAAAAATAATTGTTTGAACCTAACTGAGTGTAGGAGTGAGGTTCGAGTAAGAGTTTGGGTCAAGAAGAAACACGAGCGTCGGGTTTGATCGGAGGGAGAAGGAAGGGAGAGTCAAGTGAGAGTGAGCTTCAGAACTTTTAGAGAGAGAAGTAGTTGTTATAGAGCGAGAATGGCTAAAAATGAGATCCCCCTCACCCACCGCAGTAAATGCCGTATTTATAGGCTTCGTTGTGGTGGGTGAGTGGTTGACTCAAGTGGGGATACAACGATGTGACTATTGGGATACAATGATGTGACCACTGACACTAAGGATTTTGGGCCCTGTCCAGGCCATCCCTCTACCTAGGACGTGTCAGAGACCCGTCAATGGCCCTGATGTGACTACCTCTTGGGAAGGAAAGCTACGCTCCCCTTCTCTCTTGGCTTGGCCTACGCTATGCTCTCCCTCGGCGCTTGTAATTCGCCTCGTGCCTAAGCTCTTCGCGCCAAGACGTGGTTGACTACGATGCGGCGTGGCGCTCGGGGTTCTCGCGCTGCCATGTCGGGGTCCATCCAGTCGCGCCCTGTTCCTCGACGTGGCCGGGCCCGACTTGTTCTTTGGCGCAGCTAGGTCCGAGTCACATGCCCAACAATAATATATTTCTATCTTACATTAAGTATTCAATATTTTGGGTCATTTTGGAGGCTAGCAAGAGGAGGGGACGAGGGAATTCGTGCAATGTCTAATTGAGAATCGAAACGGCAAAAAACAGTATATTTAGTTACAATCTCAACAATCGGCACCAAAAGTTTAGATATATCAATCAGTTATTTTGAGTTATAGTTTCTGTCACATCACAGAAAATATTTCGTGTATTCTATATGCTAAAAAAATTAAAATAACGATGCATTCTAAATAATACATGTATACTAACAATCTCACTAAAACAATCGCAACTTTAAAACGTATGCTTTATAGTATTTTTAACAAATGCATGTATTGATAGTATGAATTTTAAGGAATACTATTATTTTTTGGGTGAATTTTAGAATATTGATCCAAATCCACAATGAGTGGGTTGGCTCATGGTTAATAGCCATGTCTTTCATGATTTACTTGCTATGAAAAAAATACATAAAATGCATGTGTATCGTAACAATACTTAACGGGAAATGAAACCTGAAATGCAATGAAGTCGATGAGATTTTAGAGTCCAATTGTGTTAGGAGAAGGGAAGTAAAAATAAGAGGACTATACTTTTTTTTATGTAAGAGATTTAATCTTATTAGTTGTCTAGGATTGTACTTATTACATACAAGTGAAGTTTGTTATAAACTGAATTTGACAACAAATTTTCAAATAAATAAAAGAGACAGGACAAAATATCTTAACATGTGACTGATAAAAAACAAACTCATTACTCGACCTAACACCACCAACCCACATTACCAAAAACCAATCCAATCTCATCCACCCCTTTGTGTGGTAAATTTTAGCTATTTACTTGGATTAATAGAGCCACTATTGTTCTAAAAGAAATAGAGCCACTATTATGTCAAACCAAATTAGTTTAAACTTGGATGACAAGTTTCCTTGAAAAATCAACATCTAATTACCAATTTGTTAGTCGCCCAAACTTTAGTGTTTGTTGATGTAGTACTTAACCAATTATTACCAATTCACATAAAAGTTAAATATATCTGCTTCTGTCTTTTTTCACTTTGGTTTCGGGGTTAGGTTACCAAGGTCAAACCCTCGCTTTCTGCTTTGTCTTTCGACTTTCTTTCCTGGCCCGTACTCCTTAGTCCTCACACTTTGGTACTTTTCCAAAATCACCCCAAACTCTCTCATGCAATTCTCTTTAGTCCTTCTCCGCGGTGGCGGATCCAGAAATTTTACATAGGGGTGTATTCTCCTAAAAATTAAATTAAATTAATAATTAAATAAAAAAATATCCGATTTGTACGACATACAACAAAGCACATGAAGTGTTCGTATTTTGGAAAAATTGTAAAATACAATCGTTGCCTAACAACTCTCGATAGATCCTACTAGACAAGGAGACTAGAGGAGTTCTTGATTGGGTTTAATCGTTAGTTTTTAAAAATAATTGGAGATAAGAAATATCTTTTTATTATTATATTTGTATTTAAAATATAAGAACAAATGAGTTGTAGTCTAATGAAAAAAATGTCTACTTATAGTAACAATGACCCAAGTTCAAATCACATATACTAACATTTAAATATTTCTATTTACTCATACGCAAACTACTATTGGGATTTGGATAATCATTTTTGCAAATTTTTATCGGTGTCCCGCCCGCTACCATTTAAATATTTTTTTATCGATATTTAAACTATTATCGGAGGTTGAATAATCATGTTCTCAAATTTTAGGGGTGTCCCAAAGCTCTATTGATCCGCCACTGCTCCGTCGTACAAATTTTTTGTACAATACGAGAATCTCGATGTTTAGAAAACGCACACCATCGATTTGATCCCATGTGCTCCTATTTTTTACAATTTTAAGTAAAAAATGAAGGTTGTACCATATGTTAATGAGTGGTACTAAATTCTTTCCAGGTATATATTGAAAATAGATATAATTTCGTAAATTATATTGAAAACGTTTCATATGTACATATTTTTTTAAAACTCGAGTAAAATCAAATAAGATACAAATCAATTCAAAAGTATAAAAAAACATGTTAATATCATCTCTTATATGTGACCCCTTTTAACATTAAGTGTAGCGAGATCTCGCTATGCACAAATTTATAATCGAGAGGTATGCAATGTACTCTAAATCCACTTAGGGTGCGTTTGGATACAATGATTTGGATTTGGTATTTGTGATTTGGATTTCCAAATACTAAATCATGTGTTTGGATATTAATTACATTTGGTATTTGGATTTGTGTCAAATTCATGTGGTGATTTCCAAATACATCTCTAGTGTATTTTTTGTCAACTTCAAATACATTTCAACAACTAGTGATTTGAAATACCTCCTAACAAAAGAATGGACCTATTTGTAAAATATGAAAAGTTTAGGTACTATAGTGCGAGGCAAAACATATTAAGGTACCAAAATGTAATTTTACCATCAAAATTTCAGGACCTTTTTGTAAAATTTTAAAATTCTAGGTACTAAATTGTAAAAAAAAATTGGGTACCAAACTGTAATTTACCAAAATTTGTAGTAAGTGACCAGAAATTTAAAAATTGAAATTCAAAATCATAAAATACAAAATACAAACAAATTACAAATGAGTATCCAAACAATGAATTTGAATTACATGTATTTCAAATGCTAATATTTCAAATACATCCATTTCAAATGCTAGTATTCCAAATACCTTACGGGGTCGTTTGGATGGGTTTATTGTCAATGTGGTATTTGTAGAGTCAAATAACTCATTTATTGCTCATGTGGTATTCCAGTGTTATTTTAGTGGTAATTGAAATAAAGTATCTCGTTTGGTTGAACCATGCAAATGTGGTATTTGACATGTGGTATTTGGTAAAAGCAGAGTGATAAAACGAGTTATTTCGAAATAACACATGAGTATAAGTTATTTCAAATAACTCGTTTTGAGTTATTTGTAAATAACTCACTGTCCAAATAACTCATTTCACTAAAACATTGCCAAACGAGTTATTTGCGTCCAAATAACTCATTATGAGTTATTTGAACCCAAATAACTCATACAAATACTCCATCCAAACGACCCCTACATTTAAAATATACTTATCCAAACGCACCCTTACTGGATATCTTTTAATGAAGTACTTACTGGATATCTTTTAATGAATGTTAATAGTCAACTTTGTTGGTGGAAATTAAAATGTCATTTTTTCTCTCAGCATGAAGCAATTCGAGATCAATACAATTGTTTCCCAAAATGGAACGAAAATTATTTGTTGGTGGCCCAAACTTTACAAGTTTAATTAAGAGTATGTAATCCACAGAATTACTCCATTGACGAATCTATTTATTACATACCCATAAGAAGTCAACAACCAACCATGACGATTTCCAACCAACAACCATATACAGTTCATATTTATTATGAACCTCTAACAACTTTCATTTTCCTTTCCAACAAGGAAAATTTTATTTTTTCAAAAATAGTTATGAATGGATATCCACGTATCACATAACATACGTGGAATATTTATAATAGACGAATGAATTATTCATGTACTAAGAGTATTCCATTTGTGTTATTTATGTAAATATCATAAGAAATACAAAAAAAAAATATTATTAAAAATACTTCAATCATTCATGTAATATTAATACTTCAATCGTGTCATAACATATAGAAGCAATCCTTTTAATGGCGATATTATTTATCTAGAAAAAAAACAAGGGTTAGATTGAGGATCAAATAGTTTGTTCTTTAATTTTTGGGAATCTGTTAGGATAGTGGATCAAATGACAACCCAACTTGTCATCTCTGTTTTTTTTGTTAAACAATATTCAACTTCAAAAGTGTGTATAGATAAACAAAGCGATATCAACATCAAAACCGATTTGTATAATGATGATTAGCTGTTGATTTTTCATTGGCAACCTCATGGACAAAGACTTGTGTGTTATATTTGTGATTAGCATTTCTTGTTAATCTCTCTTACCAAACTTAATCAGTATTTTTATGAAGGAGTGCACTTCATGTCTCGGCTGTGCAAAGGACTGCCTGCCAACCTTTGCCTGCATGGTTCAAACACTCTCTTACCAAATTAGACTGGTAAGCCAAACGGGATTGAAAACGTCAAATTGACAAATACTACGCAAAACGATCTTTTAGAATGGATGCAAAGAAAAAAAAGAAGTTCAATAACTAAAAGAATGGGGGACAATCCACGACAAGAAGAGGGGCAAACAAACCGACGCGTAGTACAATCCGGAAAGACGACCAATCAGAAGACCGACAGATTTCAGGTGTATCTAGTGGACTCCGGTCAAACCAATTATTATCTTTGAAACTGATATGAAAACGGCCAGTAACAGCCGAAGACTTCAAGCAGACTTGTAAATTTTGAATGTTCATGCAGCCGGACCTCCGAAATAAATGCGGGCAAAACAAACCAATAATAACAAAAGAAATGAACTTCTACTGACCAGAAAGGAAAACCTAACAAATAAACGGCTAGTAAGAAACCAAGAAAACCGTCGTCGCTGAACAAGAAAAAAAGAAGATTTCAAGTAGACCAATGAATGTTAATCATATTGTATATTTCACGCCTTCAAACCACTGCTTCAAACATCCAGATCCTCATACTTAATATTAGTTTAAATACCGTTGAATCATCTCGTATTAATGTATTAGAGTGTTGTATTGCGCACAGTTTTTTACCATAGGTAACCCTCCTCCTCAACCTCAAATATTTAAATACAGAAAATCTATACTCTCCTTTTACTTGCTGCCACTGGCACTGCTACCATAGCAGCAGCTGTTCCCTTCTCAACTTCTTTTTCCCTTTTCCTAATTTCTGATGATAAATATTTCTTTTTTGCTCCCTGCATTTCTTTTGTTTTCTTTTGGGAGTTCGCCGGAATTTCATTTTTGAACCAGATTTGCTTTTATTTTTTTGTTTGTTTGTCTGATTTCCTGCGTTTTCCCTCTCTCCCTCTTCTTCTTCTTCCTTCTTTCTTTCCCTCTGCTTTTCTCGGCGTCCAAACAGAAGAGGAAAAGAAAGGTGGCGATTGGCAAATCAAATGTGATGGGAAGTGGTCTCTCCTCCCTCTTCCCCTGTCTCAAGCCGGCAGCCGCCAACCACCGGAGCCACCACGACCACCAGCCGGACCTGATCTTCACCGCCGACCAGCCCTTGGACGAAACCCTAGGCCACTCCTTCTGCTACGTCCGATCTTCCAACCGTTTCCTCTCTCCGACCCCTTCCGATCGTTTCCTCTCTCCTTCCAGCTCCCTACGATTCTCCCCGCCCCGAGCCGGACCCGAATCAGCCGCTCCCTCCGCCGCAGCAGCAGGCGGCGGCGGCGGGGCGACCGCGTTCAGGACCATTTCTGGTGCTTCAGTCAGCGCCAACACTTCCACTCCCAGGACAGTGGTCCAGCTCGACGGAATCTACGACGACGACGCTGACGGCGGCGGCGGAGTCAAGAACAGCATCAGCAACAGCTGCAGCGGAGTCTTTAGCGCCAATGGCTTCGAGAGCACAGCGTCCTTTGCCGCTGTTCCGCTGCAGCCCGTGCCACGTGGCGGGGAAGGGTTCTTCCAGTCCGGTCCGATCGAGCGGGGCGCATTGTCCGGGCCGCTTGACGCTAACTCCGGCGGTGGAGAGAGCGCCGGCGGGGTGCACTTCTCGGCCCCTCTTGGCGGGATGTATGTCAAGAAGAGGAGGCGGAGGGGCATTCCGAGGCTGAAGAAGGCAATTTATCGCAACCTATCGGAGAAGAAGCTGCCGTGGGTGGTTCCCGTGCTGAATTTCGTGAACCGGAGAGAGAATTCCGCCGGTGGAGAAGAGGGAGATGGCAAGTACGAGAACAGTGTACAGTGGGCTCTAGGGAAGGCCGGAGAAGACCGAGTGCATGTAGTTGTATCGGAGGAGCAAGGATGGTTGTTTGTTGGGATATACGATGGGTTTAATGGCCCTGATGCTCCTGAATTCTTGATGGGGAATCTTTACCGAGCTGTGTATCACGAGCTGCAAGGATTGTTTTGGGATGTTGAGGAGTCCGGAGATGCTGCGGTGGCTGCTGCTACTCCTGCAGAATCTGGAATTCCAGAGCAGAATGAAACAAACCAATCGACGGAGGAGACTGGTAAGGATGGTGGTGTGGGTGTAAATGGTAGTTGTGAATCTAGTTTAGTATCTCATGGTCAAGATAATGTTGTTGCTAGGGCTAATTGTAATGATCTAGATTGTGAAACTGGATCAAGCAATGCAGCTCAAGCTAACTCATCAACTGAAATATGTGTTGTAAAAGAGAGTGATGGTATGAATGGTGGAATCGAACATTCATCAGTGCATCACCAAGATAGAGTAAAAAGGGTTACATTTCAATCAAACGGCACGGAGATTCCTTATAGGAGAAAGCTGTGGGAGTTTCTTGCCAATGAGGATTTGGAGGATGGCCTTGATCTTTCCGGATCAGAAAGATTTGCCTTCTCTGTTGATGATGCTATCAGTGTTGGCAATGCTGGGTCAGCAGCGAGCAACAGGTGGCTACTACTGTCGAAATTGAAACAAGGGCTGTCAAAGCACAGAGAAAGAAAGTTGTTTCCTTGGAAATTCGGGTTGGCGGGCAAGGAAGAGAAAGTAGAAGTGGAGATAGCTAGAGTGGAGGATAGGGTTTTGAAGAAAATGCGGAAAGAAGGGCCAGTGGACCATGACTTAGTTTTGAGGGCATTGTCTCGGGCTTTAGACGTGACAGAGCTTGCATACTTGGATATGACTGATAAGGTGCTAGGTACAAATCCAGAGTTGGCATTGATGGGATCATGTTTATTGGTGGTTCTGATGAGGGACGAGGATGTATATGTAATGAATGTTGGTGATAGTAGGGCAATTGTGGCACAGTATGAGCCTCAAGAGGTTGTTTCAAAAGCGGGTGATAATGGGTCGACCACCGAAGGGATAGTTGATGGTCCTGCTCAGGCAATGTGCTTGACTGCATTGCAGCTGTCCACAGACCACAGCACGAGTATTGAAGAAGTAAGTCTTCGGTCATGTTCACAAGTCTATTTACTGAATTTCTGTGCCCAGAGTTCCAAATTTTATTCATTTAGTCTCAGCTTCTGTTGGTAGGTATCATATTGCTCGAGTAGAAACTTTGCTTCTTATAGTGGAATAACCTTGTTAGAAGCAATACCTTCATTTTTGTCTCTCTTTTCACTAGCAACTAGTAGGAATCTACTAGATGTTTCTGCCGACTTTGACAACCACTCAATCAGTTGCATGCAGTCTTTTACCCTAACTTGTAGTACCTTGTGAATCATAGGGCACTGGTTTAGAAATTTGAGGTAGTTACAGGCTTACATTTATATGTCCATATGCCACATCAATGCTAGTTTGCATTTAACAGTGTTATCTATCCTTTCTACCTCTATGAGATGGTAGATGATTGCTTGAATTTTGTGTTCTTCTTGTCTGCATTACGATAACGGCACCTGCCTTTTGGTCTGCGTTATGATATAGGTTATAGCTGCCAGTCTTTTCTGCTTATGCACTTGTTTGATGGCAGGAAAACCAACAAAGTGTATGTTTACCCTCTGAATTTAGTAAATAGTGCTACTCAATGAGTGGGTTTAATCTCATGGTAGAGGATCCATTATCCATAGTACCTTCAGCAGTATGGACTTCATATTCATATTTTTTATTGCAATGTGTTTGACTTTCAAGCTTACTGACATCCCTTGTTTAGGAGGGCTTCCACCCTGACAGATGACGATGCTACATCCAGCATGCTAGTCCTCCAGAAGGACAAGTTTGAAGAGATGTTGATATGAATCGTACATATAATTGAGCTTTTATTCACAATGATGTTAATGAATGACATTCGAATTGGTTTCTTATTCCAATGATTCCTTGAGTCCTAAAATGCTAGTTCGTGGGAAATATGTTCTATCAGTGAGCATTATCAGAAGATTTGGTTAGCCATTCTATATGGATGATTAGACTTAATCTTCATTATTTGATTCCCATTTAGTAGATTGCATTTAGCAGTTCACCATTTTTGTTGAAGGTCTTTCAATATTTAGAATATCATCTTTATCTGGGTGAACATCATCAATGAACTGTGGGATTGTTCACGCTTGCAGGAAGTTCTAAGGATCAAGAATGAACATCCAGATGACAGCCAATGTATTGTCAATGATAGAGTGAAAGGTCGTCTTAAGGTTACCAGAGCATTTGGAGCTGGATTCCTGAAACAGGTTTCAAAACTAACTTCCGATTAAGATGATCTCTTCATTGTCATGGATCATTTAGGACTTAGGAGTGTTTTACCTAGAAGTTTTGCTTCCCTGTACAGATTATGTGGAACTTATACTGTGAGCGTGGTTTTGTAACCTTCTAATGTACAAGTTGAAAATTGGTGGATTATGGGGAACAGCCTCAATGACCACTCCTAAGGGGAAAACTAACATTTGCTTTCCGAATAATCTACTTTAGTCATATACTAGGACATAATGGATTTATACACTATAATAACAGATGTTTTTTCTTATTTTGGCAGCCAAAGCTGAATGCTCCATTGTTGGAAATGTTTCGGAATGAGTATATAGGCACTGCACCTTATATATCCTGCATCCCTTCTCTTCGTCACCATCATCTCTGTCCAAGAGACCAGTTCTTGGTTCTATCATCAGATGGCCTATATCAGTATCTCACAAATCAGGAAGTGGTTTCTATTGTTGAAAATTTCATGGAGAAGTTTCCAGAGGGAGATCCTGCACAGAGTTTGATAGAGGAACTTCTTTCCCGTGCAGCCAAGAAAGCGGGTATGTTGCCTCTCTCTCTCTCTCTCTCTCTCTCTCTCTCTCTCTCTCTCTCTCTCTCTCTCTCTCTAAGCATGTTCATGCAAGGTCGTTGATACATCTCGAGGATGTTGTAGGATAGCCTGCTGGGCGCTAGCAAGCAACAATCCAGTCTAATTACAAATAAGTTCGAAACTGGCAGTGGCTTATGGTTGGCTACTTGTCAAAATGCCATCATACTAGTGCTATTGTGGCCTGCTTTCGTTGGAGAACTTATGATACCCTCAGAAGACTAGAAGAGTAATAGTTGATTGCCACTTTCCTTCTAATGTGTTAGTGAAGATCGTACAGAATGCGTGTAGCAAAGTCTCTGAGAGTATCTTTATCTGAGACAAATAGTGAACCGATTTACTGTTGGTATTTCTGCCATCCACTATCCTAAAGTATCCTTGCTTAGCTTTGTCAACCATGATTACTTTGTCAGCATTTGGTGGTCATTTTCTGCATAACTCTATTGTTTAAGAATCTTAAGGTTTGTTTGATATCATTTCCCAAGTTCTTGTTTTCAGTTTGTTGTTCTGATTAGTTAAGTTGATCTGCACGCATCTGTAGGGATGGATTTTCACGAGCTACTGGACATCCCACAAGGAGATCGACGGAAATACCATGACGACGTTACAGTCATGGTGGTATCCCTCGAAGGACGAATCTGGAAATCATCGGGAAAGTACCTTTAACAGTCGCAGCTCAAAACCAGCAGCAGCCTTGTGCATACAGACTTGGTTGAAGATCGAAGTGAACATTTTTTCGATTCTCAGCTGGCCGAGTAACAGATTACAACAAGAGGTCGAGGTCGTCCATCTATCATGGGCGCAGAGAACTCTTACTTTTGGGGGAGGTGGTGATGTACAGTTAAATAGGTTTGGGGGCCAAAGTCCAAAATGATATGTTAGCCGTTGGTTCAAGAAAGGAAAAGGGGTGAAAACACCAAAAGAGACGAGGGAATCTTGTGATTGATGGGGGGAGAGTTTGGAGAAGGGGGAGGTGGAGAAAAAAAAAAGTTTTGTTTGGTTTTTGTCAAGTCCATTCTTGTTTCTTTTAGCTATCTTTATAGGTTAGGGGGGAGACTTTTCTTTTGCCTTTTGGTTTGAAATATGGGAAGAAGGTGTTGTTCAGAAGGTCAAAAATTTGTCTGTAATTCGAAATGGTGGGCTGGTATAGAGATGACTTTTGGAGCATATTTGCAGGTAAAGTTTGAGCTCTCTATGGCTTTCCATCTTGCCATCTCCATTTTTGGTGCATGCTTCGCCAGAATCGGTTTAAGGGTTAGCCTAATTGTAATATGGTGATCGACGGTCAAGTTGAGCTCTGACTTTGCAGCTAGGTTTTCATCATGCACATTGATAGAATTGTTTACATTTTGGTGCTTTGGAGTGACATCGAACATAAAAATAAAGGGGTTGAGTAGGAAAATAATCAAGATTCAAGAGAGAACCAAATCCGAACCTCCAACGGATTTGGTAGAGGCTGCAGCAAAATTCCTCGAAACTCATTCGAGTAACATTACAAAAACAAGACCATATCATCGAGAGGTCAAATGTTCAAGATACAAAAACTTCAAGCAGTGACAGCAGCTGCGGAAGGTGCTGATGCCCTCGACTCCAGCCACGCCACCAAATCCTCTCGGCTAGCCACGAAGCACCCAGCGCCTCTCTCCTCGCACTGCCTGAACGGCGCGCTCATCCTCTCCACATGAGCTCCGAATGAGCTCGCCATCCCTTGAGCAAACTTGTGGGTGCCAGCCCCTGTCTGAGCTGAGAACAGCTCCGGCAGCTCCTCGTTCTTGCTCACGAACTTTGCCAGCGTCCCTATCCACTCCTCCAGCGCAGTACATGCTGCTCCAACAGAGAGAGACCGAACGTCGAGGCTCCATTCCTCCTGAGTCACGTTATGTAAATCCGGGTACAACCCGAATAGTGTACCAAGATAGAGCAGCTCGTGAGCTCTTGTATGACGCTCCCTGTTCCGACATACATCAATCAAGCAGTTGCAGAACGGCCTCCTTGACTCAACTGAAGTGCTGCTCATCAGCACCTTAAACTCATCCTTAACATCCTCAAACCGGGTCGTCTCATCCTGAATGGAGTTCAGAAACCCCACCAGTTTCGGGTTAGCTAATCTTAGACAATCAACAACCTTGGCAGTGTCATCATTGCTTTCGCACATAGCTACGATTGAGAGCAAGCATCCAGATAGCCGATCGTCGGGCTTAATCCCCTGTCCAATCACAACATCAAACACTCTAACGAGATCATCGATCTTTTGACTTTTCCCTAAGCATTGAATCAAGCAAGTGGATCCCATGACATTGAGCGCAACACCCAAACTCGACATCTCATCGAACAACTCCATAGCTTTCTCAGCATTCCCTCCGCTGCCATATATATTCATCATCGCAGTATAAGTCCAGCTGTCCGGCTTGCAGACCTTCGAGCTCTTCATATCCTCGAACAGTTTTTCGGCCTCCTCCACCAATGCCAGGTCAGCACACATGCTCAGCAACGTGTTGTACAAGATAAAGTCCATCGGCCAGCCATTCTCCCTCATTCTGTCCCACAGCTCCATTGCATCTTTAGCCCATCGAGCCTTGCCGTAGACCTTGATCATTGCGGTTAGTGTCTTCTCATCCGGGGTTAATCCCAAACCGATCATTTCCTCGAACAGGCTGCGCGCCAAACCCGGTTTCCCAGCCTTCCCCATTGCTTCCAACAGGGTGTTGTACACTACCATGTTAGGCTGCACACCTAGAGCTTTCATCTCCTGAAGAACATACCGAATCCCATCGTAATCACCAGCTTCCCCAAACATCTTGGCAAGCACCGAAAACGTGATCGAATCGGGCTTCCATCCACTAGCTACTCCTCTCTCGTACAAGCTCAGAACTTCCTCAACTTTCCCCAACTTGGCATACACGTCTAGCACAGCCGAGTAAGTCACTTCATCAGGCATCAACCCTGTCCTATACATTCTCTCGAACCATTCCAGCGCCTTATCGAATCGATTGCATCTCTTGGCACAAGTTATGATTGTAGAGTAAGTGATGTTATCAAGAGGTATTTCATTGCTCACCATTTCATTAGCCAGCTGCTCGATCAATTCAAACTGCTTGCCGAATCGCAGGGACTTCATTGCCACATTGTAGAAGATGGTCTCGAGGGGGAAGGAGTCCTCTAGGGTTTTCAGCCACTGGAAGAACATGTAGCTCTGCTGCCATGATTTCAAGCTGTTGAGGATTAGGAGCGAGTTTTCTCGGGTGGGCGGGTGAGGCAGCTGCGCGATTGCGGCGGCGAATTCGGCTTCAGACGGGGCCGAATCGCTCAGCTTCTGTGCAAAGAGGCGGAGCTCTCTCACCTTGGGGTTGTGGGCATAGGCAGATCTCTTGTGGCGGTGGAGGGAGAGGACTGACCTCTTGGGCCTCGCCGGGTTGACCCATGTGGATTTCGAGTTGGATGACTGGAGGCGACGGTCGGGTGCAGCGGAGAGTGTGGCGGCGGAGAGCGGCTTGAGCTGGTCGGAGAGAGACGGGCCGTTCTTCTTCGTTTTCGAGGATTGGGAGGGGTTCCGAGGGGATTCTTCATCGGCGGTGGCTGCGGCGGAGGTGGAGGAAATGGGGCGGCGGAGGAATCTGGTTCGTGTTGCGGGGAAAGTGAAACACGATTGCTTCTTGATTGGGGAGGACGAGAAGAAGAAGGTGGTTCGAGTGGGTTCGGATTGGGGAATTGTACTGAAGCAGACGTCCATCGCTGCGGACAGACCGGCAGCCATTGACGGGAGCCGGGGAGCTTAGAGCTGGAGAGGAAGCAGACGGCGGCAAATACAGGAAATGCTATCTTCAAGGAAGAAAAATGAGAGATTATTTCCTTTCTGGTTTGGATAATGGATATTTTTAAGCGTTATGGGTTAATGAAATAAACGGGCCTCACTCAAATTCTGCTTATATGGTTACATTGTACAAGCCCAAAGGCCCAAGTCCTTTCACTATTCACTCTCAGTTTTAGCCCAAGCCCGTACTGGTCTAAGGCTAGGGTTAGGTTTTGTAGCCCTTTCACTCTCCTTTTTACCCCAAGCCCGTACTGGTCTAATGCTAGGGCTAATTTTTACCTCGTGTTCTTTTATTTGTGATATAAGTTGGGTTATTTAAGAGATTTGAATATGAGACTCCGATGTTCAAATTAGTGATAGTATCACTATATCAAACCCTTACTCACCTCGTTGTATGTAATTAAGTTGAGCGTCGAACTTTAGATCAATTGTCGTTAAAACAAAAAAGTCAGCAATGGCTCGTCGCCAAGGTTGTCAAACCGGTTTAAGTCATCGAGCCGGTCAAGTAAGGGGTTTGAGGTTTAATAGTCTGATCGGGGTCCGGCCGATTTGAACCGTTTTAGACGTTTTCTAAATATATATACAAATAAAATAGTAATTAAAGATTTAATTACTGAAATAAAATTTATCTTACATATATCTATTAAAAACTTATTTTCCACAAAATAAATCTACTTAACCTCCATGCAGTGGCATAGCCAGGATTTCGTCTAAGGTGGGTCCGCTTAGGGGAAAAAAACACATGATAAAATAATTTTTGTTAACTTTGCTAGTCATTCATGATATAATCTTATATTGGTAAATTCTTATAAATTAAAATACATTAGTAGGCAAAACTATCAAGAATTCATGATTTAGTTAGTCGTTCTCTTTCAAATGTTGTTTTTGTCAAGAACCGTTTAATATCAAGAATGTCACTCTAGGTACCAAACAACTATTAATGTTTTAGTTAGTCATTCTTTTTCGAATGGTGTTCTGTCAAGAACCGTTTAGTACTATCAATAATTCGAGTTGTTGAGAGAGTTTTAATAATGAAACTTATACCAAATAATAATTAATGATTTAGTTAGTCGTTCATTTTCGAATGATGTTCTTTGTCTAGAACCATTCAATATCAACAACTCGAGTTATCGGGAGAGGTTCAATATATATCTTATACCATTTACTAGCACGCTCCCTCATAAGAAAGTAAGCTTATATAGAATTGAAGTTTGCACAAATCTGAATATCGTGTGCTTAAGAAATGAGGTCGCCAAGATTTGAACACAAGACTTTTCGATCAACTATTCTCAATTACAATTAGACACCTCCTAGTTTTCAATATCAATTAATTATTATAACTAATTTAACCATTTTCCTTCCGATCCAGGGTGGGTCCCGAGACCCACCCTCTCACACTCTCCCTCCGCCACTGCCTCCATGATCCACCCACCATCTCCCTTCCTTCGTTTTTTTTCCTCTCTTCCCTCTCTCTTCTTCTCCCTCTTTAGAAGTCAAACCGGAGAACTTTCTGGAGGCCGTTTTGAAGTCCGACTCAGATCAAGTCAGACCGAGAGTTCGATAGGGGTTTAACAACCTTGCTCGTCGCTTTTAACATCATGTCTATCTCATTGGCTCGCTCTATGGTAGACAGCTGGTGGGGGGGTGGTGACTCTGAGTCTGACTTCCCCAAAAGCTAGGCAGGGAGGACCGTCGGTTGGTTAGGAGATGGTGCGACAGGGAAGTTTAGACTACTGTTTGCCATTTCAGAAAGGCATAAAAATGGTCCAAACGGCTGGCTGGCTGGCTGGCTGGCACTGTGGCGCATATAGACGGCAATTACAATACACCACAGTATATTAGATAGCAGAGAGCTAGAGACAAAAAGGGCCGAAAGCAGCAGACCAACTTAAGAGATAAGAGGAAGAAAAATCTATTAGGGTGTTCTCACTTTCCTGCCATTGCCAAGTCTTCCTCTCTTCTCTTCTAAATTCCACAGACAATAATTCAGCATTGTGAGCACTGAGAAGGGTACTCAAAACAGAGAGCAAAGGGAAAATATCACTTTCCAGTTATATTGAGACAACAATGAGTTGGTAGGACATGTTCAATAATATATCGTAAATATGATTGTGTACTTTGATTGGTTCGAAAAGACAATAAACTTAATATTATTTATTTTTATGTGTTATTTGTTTTTGCAACAAAATTTCATTCATAGTACTTGAATTTTTTTTTATGATCGTATTGTGAAATTTATCAGATCGCACGTATTTAAGTCAAGAAAAACTTAGAAGTTCTATATCAGAACAATAACCTTTAGTATAACTTTATAATCAGTTTCATCTAATAAAAAAAACACATTTCATAGGAGGGACATCAAAGGGAAGAAAGAAGCACATTGTCTGCTTTCATTTTCACATTTAACAAAAAGAGGGGGAATATATATTAGTTCCCAACCTTTTAGTCCTCCAAATATTGGAAACACCTCATCATTTGGACCTTTTTTCGATTTTTGTTCCTCCCTTCTGGAGTTCTGGTCACTTTGATAGCATCCCTTTTCTCTTGTATAGTTTCACTTTAGACCTTTAAGTTCCCTGATTTTTCAGTTGAGTTGGTAAATTTTTCAGTTAAGTTCCCCAATTTTAAGTTCCCCACCTTTAAGTTCCTCAATCATTTCAGTTGGGGGATTTGAAAGAAAAAGAAACTACCTCAAAAGTAGTGGTAGAGTGGTAAATTTTTAGTCCACCACTTATCAGCCTTTTGCACCTCTAGCCTTAATGCACTAAGGAAATTAAAACATAGCATTATAGATCAATTGATAAAAAAAATGGATTAATTGAAGATGGTTTAGTAGTAGTTTTATAAAGGGAAGAGAATCAAATCCATTGGATTAAATAATACCAATGTGAAACAGCACCTCAGAAAGCTCATAAAGCAAATATATGAACTCCAATGTTTCCATATTTTATTAATGTGACCAATATAGTAGGTTATGTGGGTTCTGTATCTACATGGATGGTGCAATGCAGTGTCATATAATCCACACTACTTTTGGTGTTTTCACATCTTTAAATTCATATAAATGCATCCTTTGTTTTTAATACTTCAATGTGTTCTACAACTTACATGTCTTGCGGTTTAGAGTTATTTTTACTTCTTCTAGCCATCTTAACGAACAATCGTATAAAATTTGAGCATATGTAGGATGTTTTGTTAAAAAACAAACGAACAAGTAAAAAGAATGTGGCGGGAGCCTACCATATTCAATCTTACCTCCCTAATAGTGGCAGGGCTTCGGAAGAACCTATTAGAGCTTTCATGTCCTCGCTCAATGCTCTAACTCTCTAAATGTTATGATGACGTACTAAGTTAAGATATTTTTTTGGTATTTTAACCGAAAAGGAAACTCATTCAGTGAACTCAACCAATTTTTACGAACACAATCAAGTTCTTAGTATTAGTTGTGGCTAGGATGCATGAGTTCTCATGAAACTTAAACTCTAGCTAGCCCTCCCAAATCCCTGTCCCATATAGGGATGTGTCCAACACCTAGTTATCTCAACATTCAACAATTAGCAACCTAAATGGGAATGCTCCCCTCTAATGGCCCATTCCTAGTCATAAAAGCAAGTTTTGAATTAGCACTTTAAACTATTCCTAGCTACCCTAGCTCCAACCTCTAGTCTATAGATTGAAATCATGATCTCATAACAAACAAAAACAGTTGAAAGCTTGATGATGTTGGTTGATCCCTTATCAAGGGAACTCATAACCCCACATCATTTCCCTAATCAAATGCACTTTCCATCTGCTTGGTGACTTAGAGAGAGAGAGAGAGAGAGAGCATAAAAGGGTTTTTGTTTGGGGCTCTTTGCCCAACAATGAGGGCTTCTAATCTTTGGGTCATGAAGTCCAAAAGGCTTCCCAGAAAGCCACTATGAACAACCCACTTTCTCTTCTAGGAGTGGGCCATTAAGATGACACAATCACTTTGATAGCAAAAAAAGAAGATTTGTCTGACTCAGGATGATGTGGAAGGATTGTTGGGCCACCAACACAACTCCAAAACTCATTACCCTTAATCAAATTCCTAATTATGTTTAATTAAAAAATTAATAATGTATTTCCTTGACCATTTTCCTTTGACTCCCAATACTTTGTCCTGTCTGTGAGACATGTTTAAGTACAGATCAGATTTATGTCCATCATATCACCCTCATCCTCCACAACAATCCAAATTCTACTTTCTACACTTGTCCCCTCTCTTTTTCTCATCACTTATAAACTCGGGGTCTTTTTCTTCTCCAAATGTGTTTCACAACTTACAATTGTGAGTGTTGGAAATTAACCTTAGCAGCAAAGCACTGCAATGGCAGGCTCTCACCAACCACTATCCTCTAGTGCACTTGAAGCTTGAAAGGCAATGAAGTCAATTTATGACCCAATAGGATAAATCAACTCTTTCATAGAATTTCAACAATTTTCCCCCCGGTTCTTCAAAAGCCCACAAAAACGGCTGAAGAATGAGGATTCGATTTGTTTAGAGTTGTTTCTGGCTCAAATAGATGACGTTGAATGCCCGTTTTAAGTTAATTCAGTCTACGTGAACTGATTCAAAAATATTTTGTTTGAAACCATCAATGTTATCTCATTTATCTAGTGTCTATAATATTATATATGATTGTGATGAAAATTAGATAAGCATGACTCGAAATCTATGAATACCACTAGTAAACCACGATCTAAAGTTAGCGGCGAACCGTTAACGTTGTAAAAACCCTATAAATGCTTCCCTTGACTGAACTTGAATATTGGAAGAAGACCGGGAAATAGGTCCATCATACCATTTTCTAATGTTCTCAGCAAGATATGAATACACATTAGAATCTCAAATCACATGTTAATCCCTCATGGACTACACGTAGTTTCATTATCGACTTACGGTCTAACATGACTAGATTCATATCGACGTGGCGAAACCCCTAGCCAGCCACCCGAACCAGAGACCATTATCTCTGCTCTGCCACTAAGGTTTGGTAAATTGGACTTAACGGTCACTAACCAAAAGTGGCGGGAGATACAACAGAGAGAGGGAAAGAAAACGGTTAGCCAGTTAGGTGTGAACTGAAGTGGGGCCAAAGTGTGCAAAATGGGGAGTGGAATTTTGAGCACAGCACTCGGGACAAGCAAAGGCAATCCCCCTACCCTCCTCCAAATTCCTTCACTTTCGGTGTTCTGCACAAAAAGACAACCTCCAATGGCTGCTCTCTCTCCTTTTTCTCTTCCATTCCTGCCGTTCATCCTTCTCTATATATACCCTTTCAAACCCCTTCTGCTTTCACTCTACTCGCTCCATCTTTCCAACCTCTCTCTTTTCAACACATTCATGAACAGTTTAGCTTCTGGGTTCTAATAATTCCCTAGTAAAGTTTCGTTCTTTGGTATTTCATTTCAAAAATTAGGCGAGTGGGGGGTTTTAAATTTACCCGCCAAAGAAAGAAGGCTTAGAAATCCCAGGTGGAAAATGATCCTGTCGTTTAATGGTCTAATCCCTCGCAATTCATACCTGATCCTCAGCAGAAATTCTAGAGTCGGAAAAGGGTTTTATTTCTGGATCTTCAATCGGTATAGCCTTGGAACTTAGCCGCAAAATTTTCTTTCACTTCCCCTGTTTATCCCCTTGCTCTGTTTTTCTTTCCTTTCCCCTTTAGAGCCTCTGTTCTTGCGCATTTAGTAGCAAAAACAGAGGAAACTAGATATAGCATTAAAGAAATGGGAGGAGCTTCTTTGCCTCCTGGGTTCCGATTCCATCCGACCGACGAGGAATTGGTCGGATACTACCTGCACAGGAAAGTTCAGCGGCTCGAGATCGAGCTCGAAGTTGTCCCTGTCGTCGATTTGTACAAATTCGATCCGTGGGAGCTACCAGGTAATGTTAAAGACGAGACATTTTGATCTTATCATCTCATATTCAAACCATTCCACATCTCAATAATAAGACTATTTTTCTGACTGCAGAGAAGTCATTCTTGCCGAAGCGGGACATGGAATGGTTCTTTTTCTGTCCCAGGGACCGAAAGTATCCGAACGGATCGAGAACAAACCGAGCCACCAGAGCTGGATACTGGAAGGCTACCGGTAAAGACAGGAAGATCGTGTGCCGATCGGTCGGCGGCGTGACTGGCTACAGAAAGACTCTGGTTTTCTACAGGGGAAGGGCTCCGTTGGGCGACCGGACGGATTGGGTAATGCACGAGTATCGTCTCGAAGACGATCCGTCGACCAACTCTCAGGTTTGAACACTCGAAGATTATCCGTGATTTCATCCCTAATTTTGTTATGGAAAGAGGTTTAATAACTGAATTCTGTATCGCATTCTCAAAAACAGGGGGCCTTTGCTCTGTGTCGGATTGTGAAGAGGAATGAAGAAAAGAATAAAACTGCATCTGCGAGCAATTCGAGCAGGATCAACTATGGCGATTCTGTTTCATCATCGTCAACAGCGATAACCAATGAGGCCATGATGAACATGTCGAGCTTCGGGAGTTTTTCGGGTAGTCAGTATTCTAGCCCCTTCGGTTCTCCACGTACTACAGAGCCAGTAGCGACGTCAGAGTCTGAGCAGTTGATTTCAATGGAGAGCAGCAATCCATCGACTCCATGGGTTCTGTCACCTGATTTGATTCTCGACACTTCCAAGGTATTCTGTTCATGTCGCTAATGAAAAGATTAAATTTTGATCATTTGATCCTTCTTTCAAGATCGATCGAGTTAATGGCTGACAGAATTTGATTTGTGTTTTTTAGGATCTTTCGAGAGGACAAGGAAGTGGAAGTGAAGTGTTTCCTCAATGTGACTATCCAAGCTCATCAATGGCGATGCCATGGCAGCAAGGTCAAGATGGATTGAATGTTGCTGATCCACATTTTAATCCCATGGGAAACATTGAACATTTACATGACGACCTCGGTCACATTGGCTATAGTATGTCTCCTGGAGATTACTCGAGTTTCTGGGGGAATGCTGAGCCGGACATGACTTCATTCTATGGAGATCATAGTTTTGAACATTATGGTGGGACGAAATAAAATTATACAACAAAAAAAAGAGGCCATAATAGGTCTTTGGAGTCGTGATACAGCCAGAACAACGCCTTTTAATGTTTGTTCGTGGAAAGGCAAGAACAATATTTAAGTTTAGTGGTTTCACGAAAGATTGCTTCTTTTAATATTGGGTTGCCTCTGGACCGGTCTTGGAAGAAATTGGGTGTAAAACAAGTGTGGGAAAAGCTTTCTCATTTGGAGCTGACTATAGGAGTGCAAAAGGCTTACTAGTAGTATTCCCATTTTGTGCTTTCTAAATTGGTTTTTAGGTCTTCAGACATATATGTATTGTTTTTATATCTATTGCACTATTTAAAGGTTGTTTCATCTTCTCATGTATTCATGTTTTCCCCCCGGGTTTGCCATTCCAATTTTACAAAGATGGGAATCCATGATTTTTTTTCACATTTGGGTTACAAAGAATATTTATTTGGAAGTTATTAGTGTGTAACATGTATTTTATTTATTAAGGGCTTGTTTCATTTTGTTTTTCAGCACGAACGTGTCATCTTGTCTAACCCATTTTAAGTAAGCGAACTATTTCATCTGAATGCATTAGTAGGTGAACGGTAGTTTCATATGTTTATGGATGTTAACAATGTTACCATAAATTTAAGGATAACGACTATTATTAGCCAAATCTTTTTTAGATTTTTTTTATTAACCAAATCTATTTGAAATACTAAAAATTAACCAAATGTTAGCTTTCAGTTAACAATTTTGTTAGTAATATTGACTTGACAACATGATACTGACTTGAAAAAGATACATGAAGGTCAACATTTCAAAATTTTAGTATTTTATCCCTTATTTTTTTTTAGTATTTTAACTAAGAAAAGAGTTACAAAATTATCAACAATAACGTAAAAAATGGTTAATATTTTGATGCATTACAAAAGATTTGGCTAATTAATAACATTTTAATAAGTTTGAATAATATAAAAAAAATTTGAATTTTTTTTGACTAGTCATTACTCTAAATTTAATGCCGTTGTGAGTGGATATTGATTGATTTTTTTTTTGGTAGAAAATGGGACGCTAGAAGGGCGCCCCTGCCTGGTACTTAGATTAAACGATCTTGGGTGATACCCATAGTGTCGTACAGGATCCAAAAATTGAGACCCGGATCCGAAATATCAAAACTGTGAGTGCCTCGACTGAAACCATGGGCCCTATTGGCCAAATAGTCGGCCGCTTTATTACATTCACGATACGAATGAGAGATATGGACCTCCCAATTACGTTGCAACAGCTCCTGGAATCTCCTGGTGAGGTTGTGGTAGCGCCTGCTTCCATGGTCCTTAGTATTTAAGAAGTCAATGGCTGCAGTAGAGTCAAGCCGGAGAAGGACTTTCCTGTGGCCTTGATCCCAAGCAACTTGGAGTCCTGTGAGGGCTCCAACGATCTCCGCCCTGGTTATGGAACAGCTACCGAGGTTGGCGACAAACGTACCTACACACCGGCCAAAGTGATCGCGAAGCAAACCGCCTGCTGCTGCCGCCGAATTGTGCTGCTGAACAGAGCCATCTGAATTAACAACTATCCAATCGGTGGGGGGTGGCTGCCAAGAGAGTTCCTGTCTGCTTTTAGTAGTCGCCGTCGGAGTGGAAAGTTTCTGGTTGTTGTCCTGTGCTCGCTTTATTGTTGACGTCCAGGCAGTGATCCGGTGAGCAAGGACGCTGGCCTCCTGGAATTTGTGCTCGAAGACCATGGCATTCCTTCTTTTCCACAGGTACCAAGACGCCACGCCAAACAGCAGATTTGTTCCCTCGCGTTTCAAATTTGTCGCCAGCCAGCCTGCAAAGTTTAACCCATGCGTAAGTGAGGACTCAATTATACCGAGCGAATCCCATACCTGTCTTGCCATAGGGCAAGTACGAATGACATGCTCCGCCGTTTCTGGTCCTGATCTGCAGAGCTCGCACACATCGCTGTCGCAAAGCTTTCGCCGCTTCCTTTCACAGTTTGTCAAGAGGCGATTGTGCATGGACAGCCAAAGGAAATGCCGTATGCGGTTGGGTCCGGGCCATTTCCAAACATTCATCCACTTTGTTTGGTTGTTCACTCCGATTTCCTCTTCTGTGACCTCTTGTAACCAGTCCACCGCCGCTCTGTACGCGCTACCAAGCCGGAACTGCCCGTCGCTTTCCAGACTCCATATAGTAGTGTCCTCTCCTGCTTCATGGAAGGGCGTATCCGTACCTGCAAGAAGAGATAGTATATAATCAGGTAGGTGGTTATTCACAGCTTGCCATTTCCACTCACCTGATGAGTCAACCATCTCTGCTACGGTAAGGTTCCATTGAATAGAATGCCCATCACTAATCACATTGTCTTTCAAAGCCAGGCCTGCTGCCAACCACTGATCATCCCAGAAGCTGACGTTCCTCCCGTTCCTGATGTCCCAGATGGTATGCTGTTTCACAAGAGGCAGAGCCTCCCTAATTCCTTTCCAGAGTCTAGAGGTACGGTTCTGGCTGAGAGAAACACCACCACCACCATTCTGTTTAACATATTTTCCATGCAGCACCCTAACCCAAAGGTCTTCTTCATTATTCAGGAATTGCCAACCAAGCTTCATAAGGTAAGCGAGGTTCAGGGCTCTGGCCGAACGAAGACCGAGACCGCCCTCCTCCTTGGGCTTGCAGATAGTCTCCCAGGTGACGAGGTGGGTTTTTGCCTTGCCGTTCTCCCTACCCCAGACAAATCCCCTGATCTTCTTATCAATAATATCACAGACATGACAAGGTAAGACCGCGGTCTGCATAACGTAGTTCGGGAGTGCATTAAGGACGGAAGTAGCCAAGGTGACCCGCCCAGCAAGCGAAAGGCTCTTAGTTTTCCAATTCGCAAGTCTTCTGTCTATATTCTCCAGGATATACTTGTAAGTTTCTTTCGTGACGCGGCCGTGAATAACAGGCACACCCAAGTATTTACCAAGGTTGTTCGTACAAGGGATTCCCATTAATCCACTAAGCCTGTTCTTAGTGCTATCCTTCGTATTCCTCGAGAAATACACTCTAGTAAGGATGAAGATTTGATAATTGATAGCAAATTTACATCCTTATTCTTGCTTTTCAAATCCATGACTATCACATCACATCCCCTGTACTATCTTACCAATTTTCAATGTTGTATATGCATATATGACCTCTCAAATTTACACGATCTAATCATTTGAATTGTTGTAACACCCAACATGATTTGAAGACAATATTAAGAGTTAAGACCACCTAATTCTTTCGTGTATCCCAATTTCATTCTCTGTTTCAAATTCAACAATATATTCAATCTCATTCTCGTACCAATAAAATTGCAATATGCTGACAAAGTTAACCCGATTTGATATTCCAAACTATCCCAAACAGTAATTTCTACCCAAATAGTAGTTTGCTTGTAGTGCAAATACTCCATATGGTTTTATTTAGTACTTCACTTTACTTGGATAATTAGTCATCTAATCTTGTCTTTGCATGCAACTTTTTCAGTAAAGTGAAGTGTGAAAGCTTAATGTACAGAAACGACCCTTTTTTTTCTGTCCATAACCCACATTTCGAGAGAGAGGATAAGTAGTTATGAAAGATTCGCAATTATGTCCACATTCATTCTGTCATTAGGGAGGAGATTAGTTGTGGAGACGTATGGTATTTGATGATTTCTAACCGTATAAACTGTATTCAAACTGCATTTGCAGGTATCATATATAATACACCAACACTATTTTGTTGTGTTTTACTGACTTACTGTCTTATTAGGGAAAGTAAATTAAGGTTATATATTTAAATTTTAATACGCCGACCATTTTTTTGAATGAAAACTGAAAACGGCATTCTGATTCTTTGAGGGTGAAAAGAGTACTCTACGCATTACTTTAGCTAGGGGTAGTTTGATTTTGGTAATTAAGGAAAATGATGTAATACACGTACTTTGCATTGTTTGGTTTTGGTGATAATTCTTTTAGTATTTAACTAGTTATATTATTTTTTTGGAAAAAATCACTTTTGTACTTGCTTTTATTAGAATATATATAGGGGTATAATTGGAACAAAAAAGGAACTCAACAATTTTCTCAAAATTATCTCAACAATCTCAAGTTTTAGTAGAGATATTACTATAACTCATCTTAAGGGGTCGTTTGGTTTTGGTGATAGTTAAATCCTCTGTTTTTAGAACCGGACCGGAGGCTGAACCGGAAAAGTTAGTGGTTTAAGGGTTCACTGGTTAACCGTTACAAAACCATTGGTGAACCGTTGGTAGAACCTTTAATGATATATAACATATAAGGCTTGTATATTACATTAATTTAAGAATGAAATTATCATTGACCATAAACAAGTTCAAATTCATATCATCACAAAAATATCTAATAAATCATTCCAACCATCTCACAAAAGAAACCATATTTTTTAATTCAAATTAAAAATTACGGTTCTAGTTGGTAGTAGGCAATGTAAAATCGACAATAAGGTTGAGGAAGCATATATAAAATAAATAATTATGATTTGATGGTCTTAGTTTATGTTAAAATATTTTTTTTCCGTTAAAATAGTGAACCAATGGACCAGTTAAACCGTGTCGGTTCATCTGATTTTATGTTGAACCGTGAAAAACCATTTGGTCCATCAATAACCGTTCAAACAATGAACCGAACCGCTATCGTAACTGGTTTGACGGTTCTACTGGTCCGGTCGTTGATCCGGTTCGGTTCTTATAACAAGGGTTAAATCGATGCATTGTCATCAATGCATGCATAATAATATACATGTATATAAGAAAATTGATGTATTATAATTTACATCGTTTGGTTTCTGTGATAGTCATTGTAGTGTTTAAATAAATTATATTACTTTTTGGGTGAAATGTATTCATTTTTATCCTTTGTTTTTAGTATAAAAAAGAAAACACATAAAAAGGTAGGGACATAGTTGGAAGAAGAAAAAACACAACAATCTCAATCAAACAATCTCCACCAAAACTTGGGATTA